GGTTGAGACAGAACTGCTGAGACAACAGAAAAAAGGCAGCTTCTCTTTCTTAGACCAGAGCTGGACATCTATAGTTATTAAATATTTAAACCCAGCATGTGGTCAATCATAATCCTTTTCTCTGACAGGGGCTGAATTTAGAGCAACAAAACATGGATCCACTGTAGAGGTTATCAAAAACAGAAATTCTTGGTTGTCACAAATGAAAGCCATACAGGAGGTTAAAGATCAGCTTACAGTGAGACTGCACAAGATCCAACTGAGCCAAAGAATCACATTACCATTAAGTACATTTAGAAGCTTACAAACATCCAGTGCTAAAACTATTGAGCACATATCAGGTAGATCAGACAGAAATTGTTTAAATGAGACTGAAAATTTGAGTTGGAAGACCTTTAAGCGACTGTTGGCATCTGTTATGATAACTGATAATAGTTTCAGTAGTTTTTGGTGCAGAATATTAAATATTTGCTGATTCAACCTTATTAATATATTTGTTTTCCTTCTTTGTAGTAACCTGAATGTATTTGTGTTTTGGATAGTTGGTTAAAACAAGTTCAATGCATCACCTTGAGTTCTAATAATGTACTTCTTCACTATTTCATTGACAAAACAATGATTAATGAAAAATATCATTAGTCGCAGGCCTACACTAAAAGCACCACTACTACAACACTAATTTTCATTATCAATTGTCTTCATCTTCTTGATTAATCGATTGGTCTATAAAAAGTCTGAAAAATATTCATAACAAGAGCCGAATGTCTTCAACACAAAATATTCCCATTTGTCAAGATGGAACCAGATCATTTAGATAGTAGATAGATAGATAGATAGATAGATAGATAGATAGATAGATACTTAACTAGATTAATCTGTTATCAGCATCAAATTAATTTCCTGCCAATCAACTAATCGACTAATTGTTGCAGCTCTGAAGTTGGTTCCTCACTGGACTGGCAGCTACTATGACACATATGGGGATTTAGGGACAAGGATCCCCAAAGTGACTTATGAAGGCTGTCTGGAGCCACTCATAATCTAGACTCTCATGGCTCATTAGGAGCCAGAGAGAGGAAAACGACTTACTCAAAGGCGAAGAAGAGAGCGCAGGTCCCGACGATGAGGAACAGGGTCAGGTAGAAGACTCCTTTCTGCCGGGCCATCATCACCCGGCCGTCGCAGCAGAAAGTGTTTTTACCCGGCAGCTTCTCCCATTTTCGCACCTTCCGTGTTATCATCACCGCCGACATGGTGTCCTCTGTGTTCAGATCCCTCAGTCCTTCTCTGGGTTAATGTCAGCTGTTAGACTGGAAAACGAGTCAGACAATAAACTGGTGGATCTTGCGCTCATATATTCTTACAGAAAGCGCTCATTCAATGTGACACACGGCCAAAAAAAAAAATCTAAATCAAACGACTTACTCTGTAATATTAAAGATTTCTGCACAAGGCGACGACTGTCAATCATTTTCTTTTGGTTTTAAAACTGTCGCATTCACATCCTCACTGTTTTCTAATCCTTATTATTTCCAGTTTGCAGTCTTTACTGCAGCATGTCATTCCCACAGTGAGGCTCCCACGCTGCTCCAACAACCTCAGTCCTCTCGCCGTCCACTCACTATATATTAAAATTATTATTATGATTATTATTAGGAGCGGAGGGGGTGGGTTATTAGAAATCTATCCAAATGCTTGCGGCAGATGTTTCCCAGCAGAAGAATCCAGCAGTGGCTGTTGCATCGGGAGAGTGGACCTTGACCGATTGACATTCATATCATCTCGATAAATCATAAATGATCGTACAGGCGAAGCTGCTCCGTGTTCACTGACATCAGGATGCGACCATGCTGTTGGACATGGTCACTATATATATATTTTTTAAAAAAAAATTTCAATAAAATCCTTTTAAAATAAGAAATAATCGCCTGTATGGACGCAAACGTGCAAAAGCTGTTTGGGTTTTTTTCCCGCAGGATGCCAGCTCTCGGTTTTAGTCAATGGCAGCAGGAAACACGCCTAGATTGAAATGTCTAATCTTAAAGGCGCAGGACAGGTAAAAGAAAAACGAACAAAGGACAAAGATAAAGGTCCTATTTAGATCACATTAATATGCTAAATCGCTCTCCTGTAGTATCACCCGAGGGAGGAGGGCTGTGAGAGTGTATTAATGAATGGGGATTTAGACACCAGATGCATTAATCCCTCAAGTGTTGCTCCACAGAGCAAAGGTAAACACTGCAGAGGCCCTCAGAGGAAATCACTTTCCACTATAGGACCACAATGACAACAAGAGGTGTTCACTTGTACTGTTTTTACTCGACCTTCACCTTCTATCATACATTTCTTGTGTTTCATGTTATTTACGGCTGCAACTAACTAACTTGTTTTCATTATCAATTAATGTGTCCATCATTTCCTGGATTAATCGATTAGGCCTAGTTGTTTGGTCCATAAAATGTCAGAAAAATTATTGATTTCTGTTCAACATAAGTTGTGCCAGTTTGCTTCTGTAGTTACATCTCTGTGACCAGCACAGATCGTCCTACGTTTTGATGTATATATTATGTATGTGGAGGGAAGATTGTAGGAATGAGTTGTATCTAAATTCTTAACATCAGTTTACAGCTCCTCTCTACTGTTATGTCTACCGCTCTATGAACATTTCCCCACACAGGCATGAATTTTAAACTGTGATTGTGTAAAAACTATCAAAGATATGATAAAGTTTGAAAGTCTGAAGTGTTGTGAATGTTTGTGAAATATTTTGAGGTGTGAGTTTATGGCTGAAAATGTATGAATAACTGAACATTACATCCATTATTTTAAATTTAGTTTAAAAACCTGGAATATTTTGGAAAGTATGACAGGAATCATTGAGAGAAGTAATAGCACACCACTCCTAATTGAGCAGAATATTTTGATGTTTGAATGAAGTTTCTACGCTGAACAATGTGGATGCAGGTAAGTGACAAAAAACATAGGTTAGCTTCCAGCACTCACAGCCAATACAAATTGCTACAAAAATATATGCAACTCTCACATATATTTAATATTAACTAGCTAATATCTTCACAAAAGTGCATTCATATTATCAGTAATCATAAATTATGATATGTTGCACTTGTAAAATGGACACAAAGCCCTTTAATATTTGGGGGTTTGATTCTAGTTTGAAACATGAATTATGAAGTAGTTGAAAATCAACGGGGGAAGTTGAGATAATCATTTAACAGAAGGTTATCATTATTGATCCTTCTTTGTCAATATGTTCAACAGTAAATCCCTTGTCTTTATTCAGAAGGCACCAGTCTATCTTTTAGAAAATCAGTACTTTGGCCTTTTTGAGCTTATAATTCAAAGTCTGCGTGGTTTGTGGTTACGTGTTTATGGCCAGTAGTAGTCAGGTAATTACATTTACACTGGCCATATAAGCTATAAAATATCCCCTGCTAAGTCTCATGAAAAGTGATTACTATGGTTCAATATTGGCTCAGCCCAGTCATACAGCCATTATAGCCTCCTTGTTGCACAGAGGCAAGGAGAAGACGCACAGGGGAGGACTGAACCATAAACGACCCGGAGAGGGAACCGAACATCCTTCACTCTCAGTCTGTCCTGAGGTTGGAGACCAGAGGTAGAAAAGCTACTGTATGTCTCCATCAGTCAGGATTGCGCCTGTTTTATATCCACCCCAGAGGAAGACATTATTAATACATGACCTGTCAGATGGTGCTTTGACCGACCCGCCAACTCAGGTTCAAATGTATCCATGACTGCATGCATAGCAGCTCAAAGTCAGAATTCAAAATCTTGTGCCACTTTTCATTACATAAAGAGAGATCAGGGAGGATGAAGTATTCAGATCTGACTGCCGGCAGAAACCTTAAGGGTAGCAGATAGATAGATAGATAACCCCCTAAAAAGAAAATGGTTTGACAGGAAAGACACAGGCCACTAATACCACATATACAATGTGTTAGTGTCGCTCAGGAGTCAATCAATTAATAAAGACAACCAATAAAGACCAATAAGTTTTAACATGATGTCAAAAAATTCATCCAGTATCCAGTGGGTACGGAAGCGTATTGCATTCACTTGAAAAAAAATGTGATTTCTGTTTTTCGGAGTAATTTTTTTTCTGAATTATCGAGATACTTCGAACTCCCGCGAGAACCTCCAACCTGCAGTGACTCATGTGGACCTATGGTGACTCCTGCCCGCACATTATATGCCCCATCTTCAACTATCTATGTATATGTTGTATGTATGTATGTCTAGCAGATCTGAATGGGCTTTCCTTCTGTACAACCGCAAAGTCCTCAGGTTCCTGCGTAGAGTCGACAAACTAATGATAATACCATCTATATGACTTAAAGACAGGACTATCTGCCAGTGTCTGAAACCCAGATCAAAGAATAACCTGATTGAACTAAACAAGTCGGTTATGTTTGTTTCCGTTAAATCAAACTCTCAATAAATGAATGAATGCGTCTATTGTTTCAAATGATCTCTAAACTCCGAAAAACAAACCAAAAAATAAATAAAGTGAATGCAATACGCTTCCGGAAATCCTGAAATACATACAAAATAAAATATTATATGATATTATTTTGGCTGCTGTGCCTGAATTTAATTAAGTTATGTTTCCTAGGGTTTGTAGTCTACCTTTGTCTGAATTTCTGCCCCTTACCACAAGATATTCTTATACAGACTATTATTACACGTTTTTTTTTTTGAAGGTTAACTTCATGAGTTTGAGCCTTTTGTCTCCATCTGTCGACATCAACGAGCAACTTGTCCAAACTGATTTCTGCCATTTTATAATTTAATTTATTACAGCTGTCATTCCCTAAGAAATATACAACACAAATAAAGCTATCATCTTTAAAGAATAAATCTAAATCTGCACTTTAATTTAACACATAGCCCCCCCTTTTTTTTTTCTTTTACAATAAAGTTTTGTATTTTGAAAGGTCCGTCCCGGTAAATAATCCGACTAGAAACGCGTTGTGTGTTGTTGTTGTTGCTGGTGCGGAGCTGCCGAGTACCTGTAACTTCTGTGTAGACTAAATTAGCGCTTTTGAACCGTAAAACATAAACCCAGTAGAGGTGTTTGTTCGGTGGTAAATGGACGGTGTCCCCTGCCTTCGTGTTTCTCATTGTCATGCACAACAGCTCAGGTAATCAGCCATCTAGTGAGGGAATAGCTAAGCTAAGGTAGCTAGCCGTTAGCATGGGAACCTTAGACATATTAATGGGAGCTAATAAGCACAGAGAGACTGTTTGATTAGCAGGTTACATGTGTTTTCTGTGACTGCCTGTACTTCTATTGATATCGGTTTTAAACGTCCTATCTTACAGGAAATGTCTGCAGTCCAAAGGAAGTCTGGACCTGAGTTTGTGCTTACTGAAAGACTCAGATGAGACAGTCCTTCTGCCCATCTTACCATCCTGTCTGTCGCAGCTCGATCTGCAATCTCTCAGATCCATGGTGTCTTCAGACAGTGCTTGTGAAATAGTTTGGAGTCAGGTTATTAAAGCTGAGTTTCATTTGAATACTACTAGCATCAGACAGACACTATACTGCAGCTTTAAAGGTTTGTTTATGTTGTTGTATGTCTATTCATCAACAGTCTCCTCTGCGGTCAAAGAAGGAGAGAGGACGGAGATGTGGAAATAAACTAGAGAAAATCCTCCAGGAGCTGTTGGAAGCTCATGGTAAAAGATGGACGGAGGAGCTGCGGGGGGACCTCCCTCGCAGCTTTCAGAGGCATGGAGACCTAGTCCTGATGGGAGACAACTGTTTATCCCTGCCACTGTGGAAGAAAATGGGTACAGCACACTTTTCTTTAGTACTAGGTGTACAAAACCTAATTCAGGAGGACATTTATTGATTACTATTGACATTTTTTTTTAGATCCACAGCTTTGGAGTACAGTAGCCAAAGGACTGGGGGCAAAGCGTCTGGCAAGGATGAGCCGAATATCCAGGGATGGGTTTAGGTCTCCCGTGGTCACCATGCTGTTAGGAGACCACAGCTGGGTCAAACATGTGGACAATAGGATTACGTAAGTCTTAATCAGTCATTTATTTGCTGTCGATTTGCTCACTGAGTCGGTCTTGGGCACCTTAATGAATACATTTCACCTTTGTTTCAGGTATGAGTTTGATGTAACCAAATCCATGTTCTCGGCTGGAAACATAACAGAGAAGCTCCGGGTGGCTGGATTTGACTGCAGAGGGGAGACTGTGGTGGATTTATATGCAGGTAGGATAACTAATAGAACATGTGTCCTGTATTATAGAACTCATACTGAGGACTGAGTGGGTTCAGATGTAATCCAGGCCCAGAAAACTGGCCCATCATGTTGCTTTTTATTGTGTCTGACCCTTGTGCTCTTCAGTAGTACTTCAACATTGTATGTATGTATGACAGGAATGTTTCTGTGCAACCATCACAACTGTATATCGTTTCAGGTATTGGATACTTCACTCTCCCTTATCTGGTTCACGCGGGCGCCAGTCACGTTCACGCCTGTGAGTGGAACCCTGACGCAGTTGAAGCGTTACAGAAAAACCTTGTGGCAAACGGGGTGTCAGACCGCTGCACTGTTCACCAAGGAGACAACCGACAAGTAACGTGTTTCCATATGCATCACATACTGCTTATGTGACATGTATTGTTTACACACAACTACAATATTAGCTCTGTCTTAATACTTCACACCAGGGATGAAAGTGTTGACTTATGCCCTCTAGTGGTTGTCCTAGTTCAACCTTGTGATTTTTATGTTATCAGTAACTGCACAAAAGAAAACCAATAAATGTAAATATAGATATAGTGGAAAATATAAGTTGTATTTCTGAGGTAATACTACACTAAATAATATATAATTCAGGGCATTGTTGTGGTAGAAGCTTAACTGTTACATTGTGTCTATCACTGTTGTCATATATCTTTTAGACCAGTGGTTCCCAATCTTTTTTCTTAAGGGACCCCTTTTCTATCATTTAGTAAACTGATGACCCCAACATATTTCATGTTAAATTGAAAACTGTACAATGAAACCAAACAGTGAACTTTGGGCAGATTATTTCCTGTTTAGGGAACTTTTTATATAATTTTCTGTATCATTTATTTTTAATAATTTTATTTTGAACAATCCTACTTTATTTAATAATTTTATATTTAATAGGCTTCTTTGTTTTTAAAATTCAGAGTTTTCTTATCCCTGGCACTCGGCTATTGTTAGAAAATTTACTTTAAAATGTGCTTTACTTTATATTTACTTTTCTTTTTTATTCTTTTTTTTTTACTTAGAAGATATAGGCCTGCTTTTTTTTCATTTCGTTTTCTTACATCTTATACCTTAAAATGAAGAAGGCCTCCCTCCATGAAGCTTTGGCAACCTCTGGTCGATATATTTATATATAGATATATTTAATATATGTTTTTGACATCACATGTGTTACCTCATAACAGTGTGATGAATATTGACTTGTTTTATTTCTCTGCAAAGAGCTTGTACATATTATAACCCTTTTTAATTAGGTCATAAAATTTTAATTTATGTCATAAAAAAACCACAAACAAAAAAACAAATCAGTAGATTTTTACTTGATATCTGGGATATCTGCCATTTTGACAGTTACTATTCTTCGAAAAAATTGCTCCCAAAGCTGTATCATCAGTGTATGAATGTCCCTTGGTTTCCTTTTCTGATGAGCAGTTGACACATTGTATGTGTGTGAGTGGGTGAATGTGTGTTACATGTCTTGTAAAGCACTTTGAGTACTATAAAGACGCTGTATAAGTACAGTCCATTTACTATAACTATTAATGTGACAGAGACAGACTTCATTTCAAAGTCTATGGGTATTTTTTGAAGAACAGATTTCAAATTGGAGTACAATGTCAGGATGCAGCAGAAAGTTGTATAGAAAACACTTTAATCTAACAACATATAAGTGCAGTCTGGTTTTTTTGTGTTTGTTTTTGCTTTGTCCTTTGTCTTTGTAAAGTCCAGTGTGATTGCAAGGACATCTCTGGCATCACAGCAGTGAAACATTTTTTTATTTTACTTTTATTTTCCAGCTCCAGCTGTGTGGCATTGCTGACCGAGTAAACCTGGGTCTCATCCCGAGCTCCGAGGACGGCTGGCCTGTTGCTTGTCGACTGCTGAAGAAAACAACCGGTGGCATTTTGCACATTCACCAGAACATCACCTCACCATTACCGAACACGGCAGCCGTTCCAGCAATCGATGATGCCACCCAGAGGGTTTCTGGGAAGACGCCTGACAGAGAGGTGTGGCGGTCCTGGGCCAAAGACACAGCAAACCACATCACCTCTCTTTTAAAGGACGTCACCGGTGCACTGTGGAAGACAAACATCCGGCACATAGAACACGTGAAGTCATACGCGCCTCATATCCACCATATTGTTCTGGACTTGGAGTGCAGACCATCCTGACAGTATGACATTCATCATATTAATGTGCCACTTTACTCTAGAGGAAGAAATAGATAACAGTGTGGTCCAGAAGTTTCTAATGCAAGCAAACACAACCCTATCTGGTTTCTATGTTTTTATAAAGCTTTATTTATCCAGGGCAGGTTCACTGAACACGAATGCTGGTGTTTTGTGTTTTTTTTCTCTCTAAGAAACGCCCTGCCTCACACTCATGCAATTATAATCCCATCTGGAAGCTGCCAAGCCACAACCACAGCCTTATCTGTTGGCCACTGGACAGCTGTGGTTTAGGTGCTTTGCTCAAGGGCACCTCATTGTTGTGTTATGCTCACTGAATTTCCCTCGGGCGTTGGAGCCCTCGACCCTCTGGTGGTTGGCCAGAGATGACTCCCATCCACTGCTCCTCACTCTCACATCAGCATGCTAGTAAATACAGGAACTTATAAAACCAATATTATGACTTGTTGATCTACAGGATTCATGTATTTGTATGGTTGTACAGATTAACCTTTATGGGAACATTTTAATGCACCTAATATAAACATATAGTGCTAATGTCTTTAGAAGTTTAGGAGGCAACAGCTAATTTTTGCAGAAATACTCACAAATACTACATAACAGTTTCACTTCTGAGCTAAAGACAAGCGGACAAATTAAAGGAAAAACAGAATGCAGATGCTTCCATACAAGGGGTGCACGGAGGGTTTCCTGAGTATGGAAATGATGTGAATCATATGATATGGCCTTCGCAGTCATCAGGCCTGAACTCAACTGAACAGCTATGCTAAGCTTTTGGACCCAAATAAGGGAATATCTTCTGGATGAATGGTGTTAATCCTTTCGTAGAAATCTATGCCAAGGATCACTGAAGCTGTTCCGGCAGCTCGTGGTGGACCAACATGTTACTTACACAGTCAATATGTTTTTAAGTGTGGTATTAATCATCTGAACTATAAAGTCATCAGAGCTATCCAGGGCCAGTTCTTGTCCATTCTCAGTGAAGCTTGATATCTCAGTATATAATATAAATACAAAGAGGTAGCCTTAGGCCTCATGCACATTTAATTACTAAAAACAGCAAAGTGATCATGTGTACCAACCTCAACATTAATATTTAAATCAACACAGACTACATAAATAAGGTGAGAATGGGTAGAAGAGACCATGTACAAAAGGTTAAATTTATCTCATACTGACTTGTATGTGATGTAAATAGGATTTTAGAACCACCTCCATGAGACCCAACAGGCTCTTATTATAGGCCTAGTTTTTATTTGCTTTACAATGTGGCTCTAACATAGCTTTGCATACACCCTGACAATAAATGGCTTAGTGTATAAAAGGGAACTACACGGACACACCATCTGTAGTGTCTTTGTCTCCCAGTGGCATTTACTACTCACTATATTTGTTTATATATTGTATTTATCACGTTTACTGTGATATTTGTTACTACAGAGGCAAGAAAAAGTAAAAAAAAAAAAAAAAAAACAAACCTGCACTTCCCGTTTTTCCAAGTTTTTTTTCCCAAACTCATTTAATTCAAAACTGTCACGTAACTTTTTGCGTGAGGAAAAACAGGGAACAGATAATTATTTAGCCGTTTCAACGAGTCAAATTTTCCACATGCAGTCCTCCTGTGGTAAATAGACCTGAGGAAATGCACCTGTCATGGAAAATGTGGAGAGGCGCTCCTGTCTGTCTGCTGCAAACTTTCCTTATCTTCCGGTACTCGGGACTCCTCTGACATAGCGCACAAAGTCAACAGGTTTGGAGACGGGAGGCGAGAAGAGGAAGACGTGGGGGAGAGAGAGAGAGAGAGAGAGAGACACACAGGGACATGGTCACAGCCGACAAGGAAACCTGTTTATAGGTACACATTATTTTCATCCTCTCGAATGCGCTGCTAGCATGTCTGCCACTTTTTAACCATTTTTGTTGTTTTGTGTCAGGAATATCTCGCTGTCGCCCGTAGTGACACAAGTCGTGTAGCGGGAGAGAGAGAGAGAGAGAGAGAGACGGGGAGGGGGGGGGACGTCGACTTTTAACAACAGGTGTGTGTCGTTTACTTTAATTATAGCTCTATTTTGTATCATTTACCCAAACCATTTTAGACTTATCTACGCAGTAAAATAATTGAATCGTCTTCCCAAGTGTCCTGTTAGTCGCATAAAAACTGTTGAGTGAACGCCGTTGAGTGAATGTGGAGTAACGTCAGCTTTAATTTAATTTAATTTTCAGTTGCTAACGTAAGTTAACGTAACGTCAACGGTCGACCGTTGGGGTCGCAGCCGTTAGCATGTCATCGTTTAACTGTATGAATCTGAATTTGATCGTTAGTTCATCGCGGATTTGTGATCTTTAACTGTGTTTGAATCAGCCATTGTTGAGTTTCATGTTTGTTCAATTCAAATGAATTCCGTTCATGTCATCTGCGGTTTTACAAAAGCATCCGTGCCTGCTGTGCTTACCACACTTTTATCTTTATTTTGTCTTTTTAAAGCTCCCTGTGCAGTGAATGTGTCATCTGCCACAGACGCATGCGCCATTTCCTTTAAGGTTAAGTTTTAGACAAGTTGCCCTGCAGGTATTATCAAACTCCTGCTGGAGATAGTTGGCCCCGGTTGGCCCCAGGCATTCAAACAATGAGGAAAAAAGGGCGTCAGGTTTGGTTGCATGCAGTTTGGAGTTGCTGATTAGCTACTGAACAGGCACATTTCCCCCTCACTTTAATTTCCTTTGTGATAATTCAACAGGAGCATAAAGTTTCAGATGGGAACAAGACAGATGACAGGGTTGATGCTGGGCTTATACAAATAGCTAAGCTGACAAACTCCACCCGGTTCTCTGTATCCTTAGAGGGTGGGAACTGTATGTAATGACTGAGTCCGTGTTGTTTTTGCCCGTCTCATTCAAAACAACCTTTCACCCGGGCAGAGGCTTTCTGTGGGATTTTAGCATCCTGGTTCCTATTAGTCATCTATCATTATTTTTGAGGAATGCTAGGTTCAGCCAAAAGCTTGTACCCAAGTTATTGACTGATTCCTGTCCTCTCATGAAATGGAAAACATTTCTAAGGGTCAGTCTCTCTCATGGGAAATTAGTTTTGACTGATACATACAAGGAGCGTCCAACTCTTGTACTCAAACTATCGTCAGAAAGTCGCTGCGCTGAGGTTTCACTGCATGGAGGCCCACAGGAACAGAGAAATGCCACTCAGTCAGTCGTCTATAATTCATTTGATTAGGATCACAACTGTTTCTGCTTGTCTGTAAATTAATCACCACAGGACATCAAACCACTGAGTTCCTCTTTCTACTGCAGAGCTCTTCTTGGGTTGCTTAAATGACAGCGAAGAAGAAACAGGCCGATGTAGTGGTAGTCAAGATTGCAGCTCACCTCTGCAGGCGTTTCTGATGTTTAGTCTTCAAAATAATAGGTTTTGTCAGTATTTGAAAAAACTTTTTTTATATCCCTTTTTTAAAGTTAATTTCTGATATTGTGTTGTCTTCAGGGATTTTCTCAATGCGACAGCGACTGAGCTGAGCCAGCTAACCTGTGCTAAGGGTTCTTGGTTAAAGGCACAATGCCCCAGGCTGAAGACATGATCAACCTGGGCTTCCTGTCGGAGTCTGAGCAGGAGCTGATCCTGGAGGTGCTGCGACGGGACGAGGAGTTGAGACTGGCTGAGGAGCAGCGTGTGCGGTGAGAAGAGAGAACCTTGTGTTAATTGCACTAAATGGTTAACTTACTGTAGTTTCCCCAGTTATCATTGATAAAGGTACCAGAAGATGTAAGGTATTCCTAGTCCACTCACAGATATTGAACAACCTCAGTACTTTTTGAACACCATCTAAAGTGTGTCCATAGAATCAAATCTTAGTATCAAAAGTTGGCCTCAGCTTGGTCAGATTTTTTGTTTTGTTTAATTATTCTTTGACAATGATGTTTATCTATGTAGATTATAATTTCATTTTCTTTAAATTAAGGCAGAACATTGCTGCTTGCATCGAGACATTACACGCTGCATTAAGTAGTTTGGCATATTTTGTCCAATGGAAAAAAATTAAAAGCAATCAAGGTTGGGGAAAAAAAGCATGGTTTTGTTATCAGTACTGATACTCAAGTATCTTACTTACCAGTATCAAAACATTCAAACGATACCCAGCCCTAGTTGCTGGTTTCCAAAGGCAAATTTACACTAGAGGCCATGCAGTCGACTACATAGATACAACATAGCTCATATCTTATCTTGATATACAGATATTTGTGTTGCAATATGCTCTGCTTTGACTCAAGCCTGGGATTTAATAGATATGATCATTTAAAAATAATGTAAAAACCAATGATTAAATCTTCAAAACTAGGTCCTAAATGTCTTATATTCTAATATCTAGAGGTAGTGAGTTCCACAGTTTAGGAGCATAAAAACAGAAGCTAGAAACCGGTGAATTGTGTGGATTTTTTTTTGCATTTTTGCTTAAGAAATAAAATACATCTGCATTTAAGTTTCTGTTAATTGATTAATCAGCTAATTGTTTCAGCTATAAGACATTTTGCATTTGACCTTCGCATTTCAAAATGTTATTATTGTAATTTTGATTTCAACCATATAACCAGCCCATCATATAGCCTAAAATATCTCCTATAAAACACACACACACATTGTTGTATAAGTAAGATGTACAATGTATTTCTGTGCCTTTCATGTTGTTTGTAATTGTCCTCCTCCTGTGGATGACTGGCCACGGTTTTCTCCAGCTACTTTATATGTAAATCCCAAAAATGAATGAGGTATGTCTTTTTTTTTTGTTCTAGTGAAATTAGGTCATCAGCAGCAGGAGTAACAGCATATTTTGTGGGGAATTTGGTAACAAGTACAAAAGGTCGCAATATTTAAAATAATTTACAGACACTAGACCACTGAATAATAATAATAATCCGACTATTAATAATAATAATAATAATAATAAACTTTATTTATACAGCACTTTTCAAAACATAGTTACAAAGTGATTTACATGGCCGGAACCAAGATTAAAAATACTCCAGGAGGTAATAAGGCAATAAGGCAAAATAATGTCAGAGAAATGAAATCTCACCAAAAACAACAACAAGTTTCTCAAAAAATTACTTTTTTTCTTATTTTTTTTCCATTTCCTTCAGGAAGTTGAAGACAGAGTTGCTGGATGTGAGGAGGAAAGGGGCCAAACGTGGCAGTGGAAGATACAGTCAGCGTAGTTGTGGCAGATGTCAGGAGCCTCTGAGTCGACTGACTGTTTTCTCCAGCCAGTGTAAGATGTGCAATCACCTCGTGTGCCGCAACTGCCGAACAGTCCTCCCCAAAGGATCCTGGCTGTGCAGTGTGTGTGCCAAAGAGTCGTAAGAGACTGTTTCGTTTATACTCTCCTCAAACTCATACTTTTCTGATTGCCAACAAATCCCATGAAAAAAAGCTAATTCAAACCTAGTGATGGCACTTAATGGCAATTTTTAAAAGGCTCAGTGATTTCTTTTCCTGTTATAGTAGTTTTAGACAACAGTTACTCAAACAGGAGTAAACTGTGCATTTATTTATTCAAAGGTAGATTAATAGACATTTGGTGCTATAATGAATGTCTTTTACGCAGAGGGTGTATGAGGAAATGAGTCTAAATAAACTACAGTGTCCATGTGTTTAAATAGCTTTTTAGATAAAAAAAAAAAAATGAGACAGATAATATCTGTGAGAATAAACTCAGGCTTAACAATACTTGTCAGTTGAATCCATTCATTGTTGGTTTTAATCAGATTTTTTGACAATTTAAAATATGTAAATATATAAAATCTTATTTTAAGGTAGGCCATCTTAAAAAGGATTTCATGTTTGCGGATAAGCAGCTACAGAGCAGAAAGTCTTTAATACTGACGATATAGTATAGTTTGTGTGTGTGTGTGTAGTACATAGTATTTTCTGCTTATATTGAATACATTTTCCCTTTTTTAAATGGGGAAAACATTTATTATGTAACAACCATTACTGGTCAACAAATATTTAAAATCTGGTGACTAATTGCTGACTCATAGATTTATCTTCTCTGGGAACAACACTGCTCATCAACCTTTTTTTTTTACCCTTTTTCAAATCTGCTATTTCACTGATTGAGTATAAATTCTGTTTAATTTAGACCTTTTTTAAAAAAAAAATGTTTGCATTGACTTCTAGGGATCTAAAGAAAAGGACAGGTGACTGGTTCTTTGATCAAAGGGTCAACCGTTTCTCTACAATGCCTGGACACGACCTAGTGAGAGTCTCCCTGAAAAAGAGGCCTCCGCGTGAGTACAGGAAGAGGAAGTGGGTATCAACTTTTCAGCCAGGAATGTAAACAGCTCTCAGCCTGGGCTGAAAGACATTCCCATATTCACGGGAATGTTCTCCCAGTTCAACAATAGAGGAGAGGAATATTAAATCCTGCAGTAACGTGGGTTTGTTTAACTGGAATGGAAATGTGATTAAACTTTTGTTGTGTGTTTATAGCCAAGAAGCGTGAGACAACAGGAGAATTGCTGTTGAGAAGTACTGAAATAAACCCAGATCTTCCCACTCCCATTCCTCGGACCAGGCAGAAAAATCAGACAACTGACAAAGGGTGCGGCGTCATTCTTCATCAGTTTTTTTTTTCAGTTTAAGAAATGTTAACGTGATAAGACTCAACATTCTTGTCATATTTTATTTTGACAGTCAGTCAACTCAGAATTCAGGATCAATTGGTTCAAGGGAATCATTTGAATCAAGGGAGGACATTTGGTCAAAGCCAATACGCAGTGATACAGAGTCTGCAGAAAACGCCAGTATAATTAGCAGCAAAACTGAGACTGAGTCTGGCCGTGCGACCCCCGAGCAACCAAGGTAAGCTCACCTGTAGTTATTCTAAAAGGTATAAACGTTACCTGCTAACTCCAAAGCAACAAAAACTTGCTGAGATGTCCCAGTTGCCTGTTTCCACATGGTGTAGGCACCAGATCACACAATTTGAGAAAAGGTTATTTTATATGTATTTGCATGTTAACTATTGTAGCTATAATTTAATGATTTGTATCATCACACAGGAAAGAGAACCGCTCAGTTCAGTCCAGCCCAACAGGATCCAGTGTTTCCAGCGTGACTGTCCCAGTCAAAGCAGATATTGTTAACATTGACAGCACCAACGCAAAAGCTAACACTGTACGATGCTTTCAAGTGACAGTCATATTTCTGTTTCAGGCCATTTTATCTGCTTTTCTCTGACTGTCCTCGTTTCTGTCAATGTAGGCCCCAGACGTTAAAGCGAACAGTCCGAGCCCAGATTTAGATGTTGATAGACTCTTCAAGAAGAGCATCAAGCGAGACCCAAGGCCTTCCGGTTAGCAACTTATGTTAGCATGTCAAGTGCCATTGTTTTTCTTCCAGAATTAAATGAAACACTGGTGTGTATCACAGCTTAATTTCTGGTCTGCATGTTTATAGCAGAGTATGTATCTACACTGGACCTGCGTGATGGATGTGACACATCAGAGGTCTCAATGGGCAACAGGAGCCGATCTGTACCAGGCTTAGATATACAGGTTAGTAATTAGCTGAAAAAACTCAAACTTCTGATTCTTCTTCTTACATACTGTTTCAACAGAAGTTAAACTATGTCCTCGGTGTAGGGACGTAAAGCTGATACCTCTATCATTTCTGTTTTTGTGATAATTTTTCAGCATCCCCAAAACTAGTTCTGTATATATTTCAGAGGCTGTTACCATGTCCAAGAATGACATTAGATATACCAACCAAGCAGTAGTGATAGTAAGAGCAACAGAGCAGAAAGTCTCCGGCAAGAAAGATACATTATTGAGTCTCATATACCAATGTATTTAATGACCTGGAAATTAATTGGGAATGTAACTTTTTTCACAGATTACCTGTCTTATTCACCTTCAGTATATGTAGTGAAAGTTTATCTTCAAATATGAAGATCTTTTTTAAAAAAATAAAAGTTACCTACTGCAACTTTAATTCTGGTTTATTGAGGCAGTTTTGAGGCTGTTTTAGTCTCTTCTGTGGTGGATTATTTCCTGTCTGATTAGTTGAAAGTCACTGCCAAATGAAGCTAGAAGAAACTCTTCCTCTGGTTCTAGGAGATAACACTAAAACGTGGCTTTTACGTTTGATGTTTCAGATAATGTAACATTGTTAGCCTGGCTGTAATTGTGTTAGCTAGTTATAGTTCAGCCTTTTTAAGCCTGTTGGTGTTGAAGGAGTACATTTTTCCCATCACAGAATCTGTATTACACAAAGAGAGACCCATCTCTGGGAAGTCAGGCATTTTTTGCTTATACATTTTAATCCCACAATCTTCATTTAACTGAAACTGTATAAACAGCTGTGTGTCTATAATCAGTCTTCTAAATGTTTATTTTGATGCTGCAGGAAGATGGAGAGGAGGAGGAAGATATTGACAGCTTGGTTAGCTTTCATAAAAGGACAATGGCTTCGAGCTCCTCCAGTTTGCATAGCTCAAAGGTAAAGTATTGACATTTCTCACAGCTGGCATTAGTCCTCTAAAGGCTCTTTGTAGAGCAGCTCATTATGTCTGAGAACGGAACTGATGTTAGATAATCTCAATGAGCATCTATAACCTCAGGATATCCTCCAGCAAGTTAGGAAGTGTAAAATTGATGTGCAATGTCTAACTAAATGTTTCTATAGTTACCAAAGCCTCAGGGGAAAGCAACTAAAGCTGAAGCCAACATTTCTTTCATGCTGTCATTCTGGATTTAGATCGACAGAAACATCCTGATCTCTAATTTGTTTGTGTCTGTTAACCCTTCAGCAGTTATTTGTTATGTTTGATGTCTTTGTTTCCATTTTATTTCTCTCTTTTTAAACTGTGATCTCTAGCATTAAGCCTTTGGAGCACGTATGTCTAAATATGATCTAAAAATCAATGTTTGCTATTAATAAAACAAACAGGGGTTGATTTAAATGAATGATTATTTATTCAGGTCAGGTGTATTTATGTTTCTCCAGAGTACACTGGGCAGCCTGATGAGCATTTACAGTGAAGGAGGAGACTTTGACAGCGTGGAGGTGAGCGGAGACGTTGTCTTCTCTATGAGCTACGATGAACACACCCAGAGCCTCCAGGTCTTCATCAAGGAGTGCCACGAGCTGGCCTGCGGCGATTCCTCACGGCAGCTTTCCAACCCGTAAATATTAAAAAGTAGCATATTTATAATCTGAAGCATTACAAGGCTTGAAAACACACCATTTGAAGCGTAGTTTGCTCAAACTTTTAGTGCAGATTGTGGCCTTGAAACAGACATTTTATCTACTGCACACACACCCCTCAGTGATGTTAACACAGCTTTGATCAGTGTAGATAAGAGGTTACTGTGTTTACAAAGTCTCAATAATCACATCCCAGAGGTGATCACTTGAGCTTCACAGGAAACTGAATGTCAACACACATTTTTTCATAGCATTTAGTCAGCAAATAAAGCAAATGAACAGTAGCCGTGCCCAGGAGAAACACTGTTTGACATGTATTTCTGTGTTTGTGTTTCAGTTATGTCAAATGTTACCTACTTCCTGACAAATCTCGCCAGAGCAAAAGGAAGACCAGCATTAAGAGAAACACAGTAAACCCTGTCTACCAAGAAACACTGAAGGTGATGGTTTGTAACTGGCACCTGTCTAACTGTACTGCTACTGCCGACCTGAATCTGTTGACTTAAAAACACTCCCTGATTAGTGACCTTGCGCCATGCCTGCTGCAAATAATGACCACACCTATAGAGACCTTAAAATTGATATTGACATTGCAGATTAGAATAGCTGCTGTCAAATATTGATTTTGGTCCCGTGTAGAGTCAGCTTAAATACTGTGACAAACATAAGTACTGCAAAGGAAATTAGCTGGATGAATCAATTTTGTAATGAATGATTGCTCTGTAAGTTTGGATTTGCTCTTTAAAGGTTAGGAAGAAGGAAGGTTTCAGATAAAACTTCCAATAAAATCTGAATCCATCTTCTGTTTAAATGTGCGTTCATGATTTATTTAAACCTCCCTCAGCTCCAGAGCATTAAAATTAAAATATAAGACTTCTCCACCACTGTATCAGGATTGAGACAGGCCTTTCATCCATCCCATCTTCTCTTCCTCGTCTTTCACCAACAGTATTCTATCAGCCGCTCTCAGCTGGCAACCCGGTCCATGTTGATATCAGTCTGGCATCATGGTCGCCTGAGCCGCAACGCCTTCCTGGGAGAGGTGGAGATCCCTCTGGACTGCCAAGACCTTGACTCCACGGACATGGACCGCGTGGCTCTCATGGCGAAGGTAGATCAGAGAATCTGTATTGTTTGTCTGAACTCCGTGTTAAAGGTTGCCTGTTGAGTTTTCTTGTAAACGAACAAAGTTTACTTTTACATTCAGCAATACTCCCCAAAATGTATTTTGTTTCTTTAAGGTCTAACAGGAAGAATTAATTCCTCATAAAAAACAAAGCTGTAAATCTTCTTTTTTCTTTCTTGTGGAGAAAAACTGCTTCATAGTGTTACTACAGGTCCAAAACTCCACAGGCTGTGTTCACCAAAGTGTTTTTTCCCAACTGAAAACACCAGAAGCTTTTCTGAAAATGCCCAGCTGGGAGCACTTGAGACTGTTTTTCCAGCTTAGACACTTTTGGTTGATACTGAATAACCGTGGAAGTGGCTAGCTGACTGTAACTGACTGCAGCTTACCTGAGAGACCCATGGCCAAATGTTCCAAGCATTATTTTTTATGTTGATATTGTGGTAGACCAGGGATGTTATCTGGTATAGACCTGGATACTGAGAAACCAGCAGTATTAAGTCCTCCTCCATTGCTGTTGTTCAGCACCTTGTCCCGCCCTTCCTCCACTGATTAGCCAGCTGAGTGAAAAATGAAAGTGACTAGCACAGCATTTTACCCAAACTTGAATACTTTTCAACTCTCAGTCACCAGAAAAAAAATCGTCTCAGTAGAAAATGGATCCCATTACAAGCAAAAAATATGCTTTGGTGGACACAGTCCATAAAGGAGGATGGATTTGTTTGTTTTTTTGTCTGTACATTATGTGAATACCACAGTGCAGAAAAAATTATGTTAACACCTCAAGGAAAAAGGAGTTTCCTTGAAGTTTCTGTTTACATTCAGTTTTTCCCACGGGGGGGGTGTGTGTGTGTGTGTGTGTGTGTGTGTGTGTGTGTCCTTTTAAGTCTAACAAATGTGTTTGCAAAGCTGATTTCCTGTAAAAGTTTATTCTGTATACATGTTTGCTAGGTAGTAGTCTTCTTCTTCTGTCTTTATTGGCGCAGTGCTGCATGCTGTAGTGCCTTATCATGTAAATCACTGAATTGGTGTGAAATAATTGGCAACTTTGACCTTGCTCTTGTGCACAAGAAAAAGGGGACCCACATAAAATATTGTTCCATAGCGGTCCTATAGGTCAAAAACTACACAAGGTACTTTTTTAAACTCGTAACCAGCTCAAAATTATAAATACTTTACTACGAACATGTTTAATATTATTTGGAATATTGTTTGTCAGAGAAAACAAAAGTCTGGCTATCAACACCTTTTAAAATGAAAAAGAGAAACGAGAAGTTCTCCAAAAAGGCTCATCCATGTTGATGCTAGTAGTACCTAACCATGCTAGTAGTTAATCTGGAAATATCCAGTCACTGAGAAACTTCTGTAACTCCAATGACCTAATTCAAAGGAACCCTTGGTATATACAGTTGTCTATGTCTATGTTAAGGGTTTATTAGTCTGTATGTTGTTTATGGGATTTATTTTCACCCTCCGTATTGACACCTGTATCAGCCTCAGCCACACAGTATCAGTCTGGCTTTAGTGTAGAGTCTGCATGTTAGTAAGGGTAACACGTTTGCTATATTGTTGTTTGGGTTTCTTTTGTTTCTTTAAAATGATACACTTTTCTTAATCAGGCAGCCTCTGCTATGCCGGCTTCCGCTTTTGCTCAGTACAAAGGAGAGTTGGTGATCTCCTTGAAATATATCACACCTAAAAAGCCAACAACTGAGAAAATCAAAGGTAAGGCTATGATAGGAAGACTGCAGCTCAGGCTATGTACACTTTGATACCCTTTGCTTTAATTTTCTTAGTGTGTCTGTCTTCTTCTCCTCAGGAAAAAAGGCAGTGACTGGGGAAGGGGGAGAACTGCACATTCTAATTAAAGAGGCAAAGAATTTGGTGGCAGTGAAGCCAGGAGGAACGTCGGATAGCTTTGTAAAAGGGTTAGTGATAATCTGTTCACTCGCTGTTTTCATACAAGCATTTCTCTTTTCAAGATTAACTGTGTTTATGGTTCTGCAGGTACTTGTTCCCAGCTAAGGCAAAGAACACCAAGAAGAAGACTCCAGTTGTGAAGAAGAATCTGAACCCCCACTATGACCACACATTTGTGTACAAGGACCTGGCTCTGGAGCAGCTGAAGGGGATGTGTCTGGAGCTGACAGTGTGGGACAGAGAGGCCCTGCTGAGCAATGAATTCCTGGGAGGAGTCCGTCTCAGCTCTGGAAGAGGTAAAAGATCTTAAATCCTAATATTCTTTTGTGTGTTACTTAGACTAGAATTGCTTTTCTGTGAGATCTCGTTAGACCTATTTCCCTAGTTGGTACATTATAGGTATCATATTGTACATAATAATAATCCACCTTTTATAAATGGCACTAAAGCTATAGGTGAACCGCTCCCAAGGTTTAATGAATGTCTTTGTTTGTTTCACCTAGGTTAGTTCAGATAGATTATTTTGTTTTTTGTTTTTGACTTTGCTTACCCTGAATTACACTGCTTCAGTTTATTGTCACAATTGCTCTTTTGGTAGTAGTAATTCTTTGACTTTAATTGCAATTCAGTGTTCAGTGAATCTTGGTTTGGGCACCAGGGAGACCTTTTACCTTTTTTATGTGGGCATAACACTGGAGGGAGGGTGAATTTAGTAACACAAACAGACTCCCTATGTAATCTTAACCCCTGCAGAAACTGTAAAAATAGGAAAAGAGGAAGTGCAGATGGACTCGGTTGGAGAGGAGAGCAGTCTGTGGGAGAAGATGATGCAGTACCCTGACTCGTGGGCAGAGGGCACTCTTCCACTGCGTTCTACTATGGCGAAGGCTACGGTTAAATAAGGACAGCACAGGCCTGGATCCTCCAAAAAAAATCCAGACTGAAATGGGGAGAAGCTGTGGGGTTCTGAGACAAATATAAGATTTTGGATTCATTTTTGCAAGAATATCGGACCAGAAGCTTGTCTACTGCAGTGAACCAACACACTGCTGATTGGCTGTAAGCAGACACAGGGTTCATTGGCCTGTTGAACCCTAAACATCCACTCACACCTGCTTCCCTGTAAGGGGTTCATCTTCAGCACGCCTCCCCGCTGACTGAAGACTGTAACTGTTGAAAATGTGTCAAAGCACCACAACACTAAACTCTGGATTTATTTTTAAGAGAAATTCAAGACGCATTCAATTCATGCTTTTTAATTTCCGGCTTTATGTATTATTGCAATTCAAAATCATGCATGTCATAATGTGTCACTTTTCTTTATAATTGTGTACAGAATTACACTGATTCATTTTAACATATTATAACATTTCTGGTGTTGTTCCCTACCAATTCTACTTGGTTTTATCTATATCATTGTATTTTACATTAATACTGTAAAAAATTATATTTATATACCTTTCTTAAAAAAAGCCTGAATTGAAATTATTAAATGTGTCTACTTGAAGATATAAATGTAGATTTTTAACTTTTAACTCATCATTGGAGTGTGATCAGAGTCATGTTCACGTCAAGGAATTCACCCAATAAAATTGGACAAAACCCAAGACATGCTTCATTGTCTCAACTCTGTTTCACTCAAATACCAGCTGGATAAAAAAATGATCTGTCCACTGGAGGGTTCCTCAGTAGTCTTTTGATGAAGTGGTTGTTTGGTTTTGGTTTTCAGTTAATATCAGATTTACTAACGGGCTCCTTGACAAAAATCCAAATCTACGTCATGCATCCAGCCTAATTTTATGCATCTATTGTTCAAAATGTACGTAGGTCTTTGTTTACTAATGTGTTTTACTCAAGCTTGTCTGCTCTATATTCTGTAGCTGTGGCGTCCATTTTCTGGCCCCTGTGCCTTTCAGCTGATTTGATATAAAGTTAAAACAGTGCAGCACTTCAGTGTTGTGTAGTGATCTCATTTGAACATTAGGAGAACTGCCTTCTTGTCCTCTTTTCCCTCCTAATGTCCCTCTCGACCTGGTTTCTGGTTGTTTGTCCTTCTTCATCTTGTGTTAGTAATACTGATGAGTTTATCACCGTGGCAACCAGAGAGGTTTATTAAATTAGTCACAGAAGTCCCTGTGGAGCTCCAGCCTCTCTCGTTCCTCTTCGTCCAGCAGGAAGCTATCGATGTAGGAGAACAGCTCATCCGACGCCATCGGGGTAATGAAGCGTTCTCGGTCCATTCCAAGCTCGTCCAGCAGCAGCATGCTGAAGTAGGATCTGGAGATTCTGAATGCTTGTCTACAGAGACACACAAATCAGCAGTTAGATTGTTAAAGGAACACTTCACCATCTCACACTTCAGCATTAAAGCAGCTGTAATGAACATTTTCTAATAACAATGGATTACATGACAGATGAATGTAATGTGAACAGGGTTGTTTAGTGACAAATCCACATTTAATTATCATCCAACTCTGCAGTTATTCTGAGCTCTATGGAGCGTTATAGTCTTTCAGCTCATTGTTTTGGTTAGGTATCTTTACTATTATGGTTCACTCTCAGTGCTCTCATAGTGTAGTTTTCACACACCAAACACTGAGATAAACCTACAGTATATTTACCTGTCCAGTATCAAACAACAGAGGGACAAAGTTAGCAACTGGCTGGTTAACATGGTGCAGCATTTAGCAGCTAAAGAGCCAGATACTTCTCTCAGGAGTTGGAGGAGCAAAAAAGGACTATATTTATGGTGGTATCTTTTTAACAACTTCCTTGGCCACTCCAGCTTCTGCCCCAGTTTGGTGTCAAATGCCAGATCAGTCTTAACAAAAACTCTATAGGATCTCTTCAGGCCTTCTGACTAAGTGATTGGTTTAAGTTCAATGAAAAAATAATTTATTGATTTCTAATGCCACCTTAAGATATGTCTAATACTAATGTGGCACAATAATGTTTTTGAGTTTAAATATCTTCATTTGATGGCTCTTCCAAGCAAATATTGATACATGTGATTGTTTGCAATTAAATAAACATATATTTTAGGCACCCATTAAACTCTCCATGTCACCCTCTTCCCACCATATGAATATTTCTCTATATCCGCCCTGCTCTGTTCAGATGTATACACTTCCCTCAGATACTGCTACCTTGTCTGATTGCCTACATTTCCCAGAGTGCTTTGTACTACACTCAAAGAATGTGCCTCAATAAACTGCCCTCACTCAGCTGTGGGATTTGTGTGTCAGTGGAGAAACTGAAGGTTAGAAAGAGATTTTCCAGTCTGGAAAAAGTGAGCAGTGCCCCTTACTCAAATTGCACATTGGGTGGAAAATCTATATCTTTGCTTCTTCTAAACTGAGTCCCTATAATCTTGTGTCTATGTGTGATACATAAAGGTGGATTTTAGAAGAATCTCTTACTGATTCTGGGAACCAAAGGCAGAGGTTTACTGTTGATGTTGTTCTGTCAGTCCGGTCAAACCCCATTACTGCTAGTCTGGATTTATTATGTAGCTATATTTAACAGTGTTAATCTTTCTAGTGGACTTTTAAAGTCAAAGTAGTCAGAGGCCCATTTTTATTAGGAGACTCTTGACATTTAGAAAGAGTGAGGAGAAACAACTGCTTACTGTTACTGAGAAAGGGAGTTATAAAGCCCTTTCAGGATGGAATTTTTCAACTAATTTTCCCCCAGAATGAAACTGCTGAATAACAAAGTGATGAAGTATCTCACAATTACCTCAAACCCTCGATGACTTCAGAGCTGAGCAGATTTTCTTTAATGCGACCCGTCTCACGAGGCGGGGAGCCCAGGAGCTCGATCACAGTTACATGTCGCAGGTCTAATCCACAGTCTGATTTCTGGTTAAAACAAAGAAGACAGATTGTGAGGTTCTTGTTACTGTTAGTAAACTGCCTTAGAAACCGCCATGTGAAGTCTCCTCACTTGTATCATGATGTTCTGCAGTTGGTAGTCTGGGTCAGATATGTTGGGTGCAGACATGATCAGCAACCTCCTCTTCTCATAGAACTGATCCAGGAGAGCGGAAGCTGTCTTTACATCTGGTTTAATCTCCATTGCTACAAACACACAAGGTAACAATGGCATCCTACATTCACACTCCTTCAGAGCATACACATGTTGTTAATGTTAATTTATGCATGTACAAAATCCTGTTTTTCATGCAGACTCACGAACACACTCAGCAGGGTTTCCGCCCCAGTTGCGGTTGAACTGGCAGACACGACTAGCTACGCCCCTCAGTTCATACCCTCCTTCACAGTGGTATTCACATGTTGCACCGTAGTTATTCCCGTCAGAGGAGCAGGTGAGGTAACCGTGCAGAGGTGGAGGTAGAGTTGAACATCTTCTCACTAGAGGAAGAACACAGTGGAAGTAAGGAATCCAGTTCCAGTCAAGTTAATGTGAAGCATTTAAATTCAATCCGTAAGTAAAAAAAAAAAAGGAACTTACCCTCAACACGCACAATAAACTTGCAGGCAGCTCTGTTCCTGGCCTGATCGTACACTTTGTAACGGATGATGTTTGCTCCTTCTTTAAAGTCGGTGCCTGGCTCCTGGCCTACTAATATGACTCTGCAGAGAGACAGGTACAGGAAAGGCAGAGTCTTTAATTCTAACTCTAAGTGAACGGGAAAGGGAAGCGGAGAAAAGGACATACTCAAGGGATTTATCAGCAGTATCTGTGGCAGCGGGGGGGTCCCAGGTCACTGTAGCAGTGAGTTTTCCGGGCTCGGCGACCTTGAGTCTGGATGGAGGACACTTGATCTTTGGAGGATCAGTATCTGAAATAAACAGTTGGAAAATGACAATATTGGACAATATTAGAGATTTTGCAAGAAGTAAATTCATTTAAAATGACAACATTGTTTTTGGATAGTCTAACAGTTGGAGAATATGAAGACTGAAAGACAGCAGTTCTGGACTCAGTCCAAAGACCAGAGGAGCAGGAAATAAGCTTGACTTTGTGTGAGTGTGAGACGAGACACATAGGGATATGGGCTGCAACACAGATGGCCTGAATTTAGGTCCACGTTCAGTAAAGTTTAACCTCTAGTTGACTGCACAACAGAGTTTAAACCTCTGGTGGATCTAGCAAAATAATAATTTATGTGTACCTGCACAAACTGGCTGTGCTCCACTCCACGATCCCCCATGCAGACAGGTACGAGAGTGTTCCCCCTCAATGCGATAGCCGGGATTGCAGGTGAAGTCGCACCTGGAGTCCACCACAAAGCCATGAGTGCAGGTGTATCTGCCGTGTGGAATGAGGTGCAGCACATGGCATCGCATCCCTGAAGGAACATCACCCCGCAGACATACACTTTGTTCAGGGTCGAAACAATCACAGAATAAATATATATCTCAGAGAATAGAATCATTTTCTGAAACAGCTGGGCACTGTAGGTTGTAGCAAATGTTACTCAAACCCCAGCAAACAGTGCATTTGTTAGGAACTACTTTCAGAAGCAGATTAATACACATTTTGTGCCCTATTGCAACAGTGTGGCTCATTTGATGTGTTTTTAATAGATTTCAAACAGACATGGAGATCTGCTGTATGGTACAGAGCAATAAGCTGTATCAGGTTGCACAGAACTGTTAGTAGGATCAATTAAATGTTGGTTTTCTGTTTTTTTATGGGAATTTAAAACCTCAACTCGCACATACTGCGGCAGTAAGCAGTCCCAGACCAGCGCCGGCTGGCGAGGCATTGGATTGAGCTCTTCCCCAGCAGTCGGTAACCTCGATCGCAGCTCATCTCACAGCGGGTGCCCAATGTGCTCCGGTAGGCGCCACCGCGAGGGGAGTGGCAGGTCACCTCCCCATTGGTCAGACTCGGAGAATGACACCAGTGTGGGTCTGCATTTAAAGAGTGAACAAACCCAAAACCTGTGTGAAGCACTAATGGTGGATAGCAGGACACAGAAGGGCAATCTGCCATTAGCTGGTATTTGGTCATTATCTGAATCAAGGGTCTAAGGATAGAGGGGGTTTGTGTGCCGTACAGATTGTAAAGCCCCTTATGGTGATAACTGGGCTGTATAAAGAAAACTGACTACATAGATCTCTTATCTATCTTCTTCACATCTTATTCTTCAATGCCAGAAATACCACAGTATAAATGGAAATGGAAACATGTCTGATAGTAGACAGAAGTATTGTACACTGTCTGATATTGTCAGCTCTAGTGTGTGTGTGTGTGTGTTTTTCCAGACGCACCTTTGTAGTCCAGTTGAGGAGTGTAGTCTTGTTCTACAAAGTCATTGTAGGTGTCATATACTATGGTCCCAGAGCCCACTAAATAAAAAAAAAAGCAGTCAAACATGTGGAACCAGCAAGATGTCAGATGCCAAACATGGTTCTCAAACATTATGATTCACTGAGCTTCTGTATCAGGATTGTTATATATAGGTCACGCACAGGCAGTCTGGCATGCAAATGACTCTTCCTAAACACAATCTCTTTTCCATAACTTCCTGTCAGGTTTCCTTTAACATTCCAGTCCACAGACACCTGGATTAGTAATCAGTGATGCTGATGGGAAAAACATAGTGATCTTACAAATGGCATAAAGATTGTGTTGCTTTCTTGTTGGGGTAGAGAGGAGTGTAGATATGAGTACAGAGAAAGCATGTTAGACTGTTTTCTGGCCTTTAAATGGACAATAGCTTCACTGCAAATTAAGGCCAACAGCATGTTTTCATTACTCACTTGGAGATTGTCCCTCTTACTCATCTCTTTTCATGTAATAGGCTGAAGGGCTTGCATACTATATGGCCTTCATCCTGACTTTCTGTCTCTGAATCAGTCTTCCTGCACAATAAATCCTCTTTACTGTTATCCTCCTTTCTCAGCAGTTGTGGTTCAGGCACATTATCCCTTCTTTTGAAATCCCAGAAAATGACTCCATGTTTATAACTGAGTGCCAAACTTTCCAGTGTGTCAACCTCCACCCCCAGCTCAAGTCAATTCCTGTGCTGCTTCCTCTCTGGCACAGTTTCCTTCAACCACATTAAGTTCACTTTCACACAGTTTCTAATAATAATGATGCACTGCATTCAGACTCTTCTGGAAGCTGCTTCAGATTGTCCCAGCGATGTGTGGATTAAACATATCGTCAGCGTTTTTCTCATAATGAGCCAGATGTTCCACTCAGTAACATTTCTCCAGACTAATATTTCCCAAGTCCCCCTAACAGAGAATTAGTCACAGAGGAAATAAACAAGCTAAGATCATCAGTCTGATGCTCTGCACTGCAGGGATCAAGTAGAGACAGACTTCTGGTGACATGCACCATCATGCATATGGCAATTAAAAATCTTTAATTTGAGCAGCTAAAACTACTGCAGTGCTGAAAAGAATCACATTTACTCAAGAGCTGTACTTGAGTACATTTTTTAAGGGACTTGGACTTTAATTGACCATTTTATGCTACTTTATACTATACTATATACAGTATGATAATACATATTAAATCAGTGGTTCCCTGCAGTTAGTTTATGAACCCTATCAAAAAAGCACAGTTTCAACTAAGTCTTAGTCATTTTCTAGATCATTAATTTTGTCTATAAAGTCTCTGAAACTATAATTTCTTATAAAATGACTATAAAGTCTTTGTTGTTTTGTCTGACCAACAGTCAAAGATATTGATATCTTGAACGACAAAGAAGAGCATCAGATACATGGAACCAGAAAATGTTTTGTGCTTTAAAAAGTTATTAAAATTATTATTTGATTTCTAAAATACTTGCAGATTTAATCATTTAATCAACTAACTGTTGCAGCTCTGTCTCTGCCTCTGGTCATGTTTTCAGATGTTTATTGAGTTGTTAGAGAGATTTCGTCTGCAATGGTTTCATTTAAATAACTGTTTGAGGTCCATTTAAATTCATTGAGATTTGTGTGGCAGAACTTAGTTTTTCTTCATTTTTACTCCATCCACTCCGTCTTTTTTATGGATTCTATTCTGCTCTTATAATTGTATTTTGGTCTTCTTTATTTTTATATTTAATAACATTTTGTGTATCACGACAACCATTTTGGTATGTCTGTCAAAGCACTTTGTAAACTCTGTTTTTAAAAGATGCTATACATATAAAGTTAGTATCATTTGTATTAATCTTGTGACCCTTTGGAGGGGCCCGACCCCTAGGTTGGGAACCTCAGGAATAAACTACTAAACACTATATAAAGTAGTTTTTTAATAATTTTACTAAAGCAGGATTTTGATACAGAACTTTTACTTGTGATGTTTTTAGATTGTTGCACTGAAGGATCAGACTACTACTACTAGGGGGTGTAGAATACCAAGACACTGACACACACTGTGCATCAGGCACCACTCACAGTACAGACTTTACCACGGAGACACTGTACGCTGTAGCAGGGTGAGTCACACCAGAGGAAGGTGTATCTGTTTGAGTTACCATGTTAAAGGCTTCTTCTGTCTCTAATGACAAAGGTGAGATAATGACCAGCATCCTTACAATCACTCTGTATTATCACCTGAGCTTCTTCAGGGTGAATCTCAGGTCACGTGATTATCTTGCAGGATTAAACGAAGGCTTTAGCACACTTGGTCCCTAAGGGGGTCTCCTCGGTAATGAACAGGCAGGGATTGGAGCTGAGCTGTAATTAAACTGACTGGTCAGCAAGCAGGGGAGCACCTGAGGAGGAAGGCAGCTCGACTGCAGCTTGTTTTAAATTCATTTTGACTGGATTCTGTCCAGTTGCATGTTGGGAGATGTTGTGAGAAGGAGCTGTATCCCCCAGCTCTTCATTCCTGCAGGGAAGAGTGGGCTCCATTTGCATTCATCCAGTCACCTCAAACATTCAGCACATCTGCGTCTAATACAGTTGTTATTACTGCTGAGATGAAGGTATTTCCCAACTGCAGGGACGGGATTTGTATGTTTCAGTGACTTCCCTCTAACAGTCATATTAGATATATATTTTTTAGATCATTTTAGTAAAGATTTACAAAGAATTAATGCCTGACTTAACTTAAATAATATCCACAAACAAGAACACACAACTAAAGAAATGATTTTAAGGGGTTTTCCTATAGTTTAAATAACGCAAAGACTCACCTGTGAAGTATAAAATGAACACAAACGCAACAAAGGGGCTGAGAGGCATGTCAGAAACGCACAGAAGACCCTCCTGGATAGAAAAAAGTTTTTACTGAGCAGGTTGGTTCAGATCCCAGAGACCAACAAAAAAGTTATATTCCGGATAAAGTCCACAGCCGGTTGGACTGACGGCTGAAAACACTTAAATGTCCCCACTGAGGACAAGAAGCGCTCCCGTCAAGCAGACACTCCGCACTTTCTGTAAAACAAAGATTCTTTTTAGTTCATCATCAAAGTCAAAAAACCACTTGGTGGCGCAGTCGGACTCCTCATGTTTGTGTGTTTCCTCCCACCGCTGCATTAAACATGATGATCGAGCCATTATATAAAACCCCACCCCCACAGCTCATAAGCCTTGAGAGTGAAGGTTATTGTAGGCTGCAAATGAAAACATATAAACCCATTCAGAAGAATCATTCTCTCTAATATGATACTACTGAGATCAGTGGTGGCTTTAATGACTTATTATACATTTTTAATTCTCCTGATTACGATAGATAATCCTATAGTAAATTATATTGTCCTGATGATATTGTTATTAAAGTTGTTAAGTTCTTATAACAACAACAATAATAATAATATATAATATCCTTTATTTAGCACATGTTTACAAAAGTGTTTTACAGACAGAAAATAGACCTCACAGGTCGGTTGTTATATTTATAGTGTCCACTCATATGATTCTAATATAATAATGTATTAAGTGTCATTACATGTGATTTAGACAGAATATGTCCCACAGGAGGTCTAAGTGATGTTTAATGCTGTGATAAACTGCCAGAGGAGAACATCGTTTATGTAGAAATTAGATTAGAAAAAAAAGAAATCTTCATGTTTATCTTATGAGTGTTGTGATAATTGTATTTACTCAGCTGATGTAATTTAGCCCATACCAAGTGTCACATCATCAAATGAATAATAATTAAAGTCAGACAGCATGAGGCAGGAAATAGAGCTACTGCCCACAAAATAAAAACATATATTTACATACTAAGTTAAAAAGTCAAACTTGCTAGTAAAACGTAAAGATATTAAGGGATGTATTTGGATTAGTTGTTGAAAGAAATCATTTTTAGCTTAAAGGGTCAAAATCCATCACATTACTAAATCACATTTAAAGTAAAAACTGTAAGGTAGAAAATCAAAATCTTGACTTGAGCTGGCAGTAAGCCTAATTTTTTATCGATATCTCATAATTTGACTTAGCAGTATGCTCAGATTACCGAATTTATGTCAAAATTTCGTGATGAAACATTTTGTTTTGTTTGTTGATCAAACAAACAAGTGTTTTACACATTTGTGCTTCAATAATTATAATTCAATAATACAATATAAATTATTTATTTGTACTTAAAGATCCCCTCCAGAAATGTAACACACATAAACTGCTTGGAATAATAATGTGTCTGATATGTTTTTTAATTTCCACATTTCTTCCATCTCATTAAACATCCGAGAATCTATGAATATGGATCTTCATCAAACTATTTGTGATGTCACAAATCGTGCTTGTAGGACCCGCCCCTTAAAATCATATTTTCAATGAGCACAGGATGCACATAGGATGGCAACAGCATGATATAGTTGTCCAATATCACTTGCAAAATGCAAAATTACTGTATGTAGTTGTCTCAGCCTTTAGTCTTTGGGCCAGTACTGTTGATATATTGTTTTTTTGTTGTTGTTGTTTTTCTACAATTTCTTAATGCTTTGGCAATATTGTCTTGAAGTGAATTGATTGTTCTGTGGCTAATGTTAATTTCATAATGATCCTTTATTGTCAGTTCATTGTCAAAATGCAAGAGTAGTCACTGTTCATATAACAGGAGATTTATTCTGAACTCCGCCGCTTTAAAAACTGAATATGAGGCATAAATTGTATAGTGTATACCCAATTCCTCTAGGTACCACTACACCACTGCTGATGAGACAAATACCCCCCCTTCACATGAGCCACGTTTGTCTAAAACGATGCAGGAAGTGTTTTATTTTGAAGGCTGTGTGTGTGTGTGGTACTGCAGCAGTGACGTTGGTGTGGAAGCTCGGTGTTCCTTCAGGAAAGTGAATCTGGGTTAGTGACGACACTTCCCCCCTCCTGTCTTAGGATTTATCCCCGAAGTTTTTTCTCCCCTCTCGCCTTCAGGGCGCTGTGAAGTGAACTTTTCCTCTCTCTTTTTCAATTTAAAGTAAAAAGCAAAACAAAAACAAAAACAGCACCATGTCGCCGCCGTCTCGACGGCTTCAGACGAAGCCAGTGATTACCTGCCTGAAGACTTTCCTCATCTCCTACAGTCTCATATTCTGGGTGAGTTTGCCTGACATGTAATGGGGGACAACAAGCTAGCGTAAAGGAGCAACAATGGGCTACAAGCGGCGGCGGTGCCAACAAGGCATCGTTTTCTCAAATCACGACAGAGACTCACTCGGAGTTAAAATATGTTGAGTAGCCGTTCACCGGTAAAAAGTGGAGTTACATAAAGAGCCACTTGTTGGCTTTTACCGACCGTTGGAGACGTTGGAGCAGATGTTCGGCCTCATTTATCAACGTTCTGAAAAAACTACCGTTAGCTGTTCTGTGTCAGTTAACTACAGAACAGTTATTAGAACGTTAAACGTTACAGCGGTTACAGTTACATTAACACCACCATTCTTGTTGTTCTGCAGTCAACTTAATTGTACATAGACTGCAACAATTAGTTGGTTAATCGATTCGTTTTCGCTATTTTTAATGATTGATTATGGGTTTCCCTAAATGCAATTTACATAAGGGTATTTTGCATATTAAAAAAAAATTATCTTCGAGCTACTTAATTTCCAAATAATTCAATATAAAGAGCTTATGTTAAGGATAATTAATTTAACTGTGCTTTTCTTTATTTACCATCACATATTAAGTTGTATGCTTGCTTGTAGGCAAATTTCACATTTTCAATGTAAAAAAAAAAAGGAAAAAAAAAAAAAAAAAATCAAAACATTGCATCCAGCACCTTCTGGTTTTGTGTTAGTGTGAGGTAGTTTTCTAAAGTTTTAATGTACAGCTGTAATGTTACATTAAATGCTGTTCGACTAGCAGTTAACTGGAATTAAGCAAGTAAAAAGTTTAGCATCAGTGTTTTCTGTTTCTTCTAATATTAGTTCAAAGTTAATTATTTCCAGGAAACCTTTAGGGAGAGATCTGAGGACTTGATGTTGGACTAATGATTATTTTGATTATTAATCAGCAGTGCTTGATTAACTGTGATAATGCCAGTACAGTTTCCTGTAGCCGGAAGCAACATCCTCAAATGTCTTATTTTGTCTGACCAACAGTTCATAACTCAGAGATATTCAGGTTTATTGTCAACGAGACAAAGAAAATGTGTAAATCCTCAATCCCCAGGGACAAGAAATGTTGGTATTTTAACTTGACAAATTACTTAAAGATGAATTGTTAACAAGTTGCAGATTAATTTTCTGGAAGTCTGCTTATAAATTAATCGACTAATTGTTCGGACTGCTGGTCAAATGAAAGAAGTGTGAATACATGAACTTGGGCTGTGGGAAGTTATACCAAGCATTGCCACTATTTTCTGACATTCTGTTAAGAAAATGATTCATCAACACAACAATCTGCATAATAACTGATGATGAAAATGATTGCTAGTGATTGCATCTCTGATTACATGTAAAGAAAGTCTCAACACAAGCTTGTCTTGAGAAGAAAATGAGCAGTTATCACTGTTCCCCCCCGTTAATCTTTGTACCGAGCAAACAGCCATCTCAGGCTGCTGCTGCTAACACAAAGTTCAGGTCAGTGCTTTTATCTGGCAATTTATTGCTCTTGGCTGGTTGAGCTGATGCCTCCCCTCAGGCTAATGACTTGTGTGGGCAGTCTTAAAGCAAAAGATGCTGAGATGATTAAACCTCAGGCTAAGGCTAGTGAGGGTTTCCCCTGGTGTGTCTTTACTTAAATGTTGACAGGTAAATAAATCACCTGCAGCATATGAATCATGTATCTTATGACTGACAGTTCAAATATCAAATATATGGTGTTTACGAACAATGCTAGAGGCTATATGATGTTTTACTCTCACACATTGTGAGTCAGAGCTCCAATATGCCTCTCTAAATCAGCTGCTTCTCCTCATCTGCATTTCCTCCCCTGAGAACAGAGAGGATTTAATAAAGGAAATCAATAAGGGAAATTGTGTTTTCACTGGATTCAGCCCATCATGGTTCTTAATTAAAAGTATCCCTGGTATTTGCGTGATTCGGAGCAGATCACTGGTCTGAGTAGCGATATACAGTGCCTTGCAACAGTATTCGCCTCCCTTGGCATTTTTCGTGTTTTGTTGCCTCACAACCTGGAATTAATATGGATTGTTTGAGGATTTGCATAATTTAATTTACAGAACATGCCCACAACTTTGAAGATTATTATTTTTTTTATTGTGAAGCAGACAACAAATAGGACAAAATAACAGAAAAAGTCAATGTGCATAACTATTCACCCCCCTAAAGTCTACTTTGTAGAGCCACCTTTTGCAGCAATCACAGCTCCAAGTCGCTTTGGATAAGTCTCTATGAGCTTGCCACATCTTACCACTGGGATTTTTGCCCAATCCTCCCTGCAAATCTGCTCCAGCTCCTTCAAGTTGGATGGTTTGCGCTTGTGAACAGCAATCTTTAAGTCTGACTACAGATTTTCTATTGGATTGAGGTCTAGGCCATTCCAACACATTTACATGTTTCCCCTTAAACCACTCAAGTGTTGCTTTAGTAGTGTGTTTGGGGTCATTGTCCTGCTGGAAGGTGGACCTCCGTCCTAGCCTCAAATCACGCACAGAGTGATACAGGTTTTGCTCAAGAATATCCCTGTATTTAGCACCATCCATCTTTCCCTCAACTCTGACCAGTTTCCCAGTCCCGGCTGCTGAAAAACATCCCCACAGCATGATGCTGCCACCACCATGTTTCACTGTGGGGATGGTGTTCTTTGTGTGATGTGATGTGTTGGGTTTGCACCAGACGTAGCGTTTTCTTTGATGGCCGAAATGTTCAATTTTAGTCTCATCAGACCAGAGCACCTTCCTCCATACATTTTGGGAGTCTACCACATGCCTTTTCGCATAGTAATGGCTTTCTTCTGGCCACTCTGCCATAAAGCCCAACTCTATGGAGCGTACGGCTTATTGTCGTCCTATGTACAGATACTCCAGTCTCTGCTGTGGAACTCTGAAGCTCCTCCAGGGTTACCTTAGGTCTCTGTGCTACCCTCCTTGCCCGGTCCGTGAGTTTTGGTGGGCAGCCGTCTCTTGGCAGGTTTGCTGTTGTGCCACGTTCTTTCCATTTGGTTATGATAGATTTGATGGTGCTCCTGGGGATCATCAAAGATTTGGATTTTTTTCTTTTATAACCTAACCCTGACTTGTACTTCTCAACAACATTGTCCCTTACTTGTTTGGAGAGTTCCTTGGTCTTCATGGCAGTGTTTGGTTAGTGGTGCCTCTTGCTTAGGTGTTGCAGCCTCTGGGGCCTTTCAAAAAAGGTGTGTATATGTACTGACAGATCATGTGACACTTAGATTGCACACAGGTGGACATCATTTCACTAATTATGTGACTTGTGAAGGTAATTGGTTGCACCAGAGCTTTTTATGGGCTTCATAACAAAGGGGGTGAATACATATGCACATGCCAATTTTCAGTTTTTTATTTCTAAAAAATTGTTTTATGTATATATTTTTCTCATTTCACTTCACCAACTTAGACTATTGTGTTCTGATCCATCACATCAAATTCAGATTAAAAAAACATTGAACTAAAGGCTGTAATGTAACAAAATAGGTAAAAAGCTAAGGGGGGTGAATACTTTTGCAAGGCACTGTATGCATGATCACAGCTTGGTACACAGCAGAACTTCATATTTAAAGAGCCGCGTTAAGAGGCCTGGCGCTTTTTAATAGTGATAGCTTCCACCAATGGAAGACGTTAGCTGGTGTGACAGGTCGAGTTTTTAGAAAAATTTTGGTCGACATTTAGATTAGACTTATCGATTTCTTGTTTTCAGTTCAAAACTCAAAGATATGACATGTTGTCATATATGACACAGAAAAGCATGAAATTCTCACATTTGTGAAGCGGGAAATTATTGGAAAAATTATACGGGCCATCAGTCTGCCCATTATTTTCTCACTTCATCAAACAAATATCAGAAGATATTGAAAATTGTTCCCAGAGCCCAAAGATCTGGCTTGACCAACAGCCTCAAAGTATTCAGTTTCTATATCAGATGTAACAAAGCAGATAGTCTTTACGTTTAGGGAGTCAATCTTTTGTCATTTTTGTTTGATCCAATTTCATTTTGGAACCAGTTCCAAATTTAGCTCTTACTTAAACAAGTTATTTTTTATTTTTCTTACTTAATATCATTGAAAGATAAACCTTAAGATTGTATTTTATAGATGTGATAAGGACTTAAAAGGATTCTAATCTGATAAAATGCTACTAAACTCTAACTAGACCAGTGTGGAATCGATCAAGTGGTTTTGAGGATTTAATCTTAGGTTTTGTGTCAGAGACGGCTCTAAAAATCTGTTCATCTCTCTCTCTTTGGCTCTTTGACGCCGGTGCTGACTTGCCCTGCTGTCTTCCTCAGTTCACAGGCGTGATCCTGCTGGCTGTCGGGGTGTGGGGGAAGGTGAGCCTGGAGGACTATTTCACCCTGGCCTCTGAGGAGAGCACCAATGCACCATATGTCCTCATCGGGACCGGAGCCATCATCGTTATTTTCGGACTGTTTGGCTGCTTTGCTACGTGCCGCGGCAGCCCATGGATGCTCAAACTGGTCAGTGAAGGTGCAATAAGTTCCCTGAAAAATTCCCATCAGATGTGACCCTTTGTAATAGTTTTCTTTGTGTGCTTCCTTCAGTATGCCATGTTTTTGACCTTGGTGTTCCTGGCTGAGCTTGTGGCCGGTATCTCAGGCTTTATCTTCAGACATGAGGTGAGTTACTTGTCCAAACCATTACAGGACCAGTGGGTAACATTTAGGAGGATCTATTGGCAGAAATGGAACATATTTATATATATTTTTTTAATATAGGCATGTTTTCATTAGTGTATTATCACCTGAAAATAATAACTGTTGCGTTAGAATGAGCCATTTATGTCTACAAAGGGACAGTCACTGAAAAATTGTTATTAGTTATAGTTACCAATTACTGCATGTAAAAGTAATTTTTTACAAGGGAAAATAACTTTTGCATTACTTTTGAATATCTGATTCAGTTGTCTTGTTAATGCACACAGCTGTCAGCTATGTTATTTTAGCGTTGCTGTGGGCCTGACCACCAGAGCGCAGAAGTGACTAGAGTTCCTACCTGTAAGCCACACTTACTGCAGTGGTTAGTAGACAGAAGGATTTAGTAGGAGACCTACACGCATGTACACATTGACTGAGCTTTGCTACAGTAATGAGTTAATGGATAATTATTTGGTGAAAAGACTGAATTGTGTTGGGCTACTGTGAGGTTGAGTGACATTAGATCATTACTATATCATACATTAGTAGTTACCACCAAAAGTAGTGGAATTACAATAACACGTTACCTCCAACAACAGCAGAGGGAGTCCGCAGTGTTAAACCGCGATGTTTCTACAGTAGCCCAGAACAGACAAACCAAACACTGGCTCTAGATTGGCCATTTGGCATTTTTTGTCACTTTTCGTGGCCACTGTAGTTTCTCCTACACACAAGGCTGAGCTGTATTCAACTGGTTGCAGTCTGCTAGATGCCACTGAATCCTACATACTGGTCCTTGTAAGATGTTTAAATAATAAACCTCATCAGCTTACTAAATATATATAATCTGCTTTGTTTTGAATTCACCAGATCAAGGCCAAGATAGGTGTTGCTTTTGAAAATGCTATGCAGAACTACAACAGCACGGACGCCATCGGCACTGCAGTCGACGGCATCCAGATGACTGTGAGTGGGAGGTTTTACATTACACTAATGGTGTTACTCTTATCTGACTTTGTCTCACTGTACAAACTAAAGAACTCTTGTTTACATAAGAACATTTTAAAAGGGCAGCTGCACTCCTCTCTGTGGGTTTAAACTTTCAAGCATGTTGCTCTTGTCACTGCAGTTGTTTTCCCAAATCATCCGAAACATCTGCAGTGGCATCACTCATTGCAAGAACGACAATATCTGGCTGTTATTTTAATTATTAAAAACATTTTTTTAACCCACTTCAAGACATTTTCTACAACGTTGTTTTAATTATGTTTCCATACAGCTGCATTGCTGCGGGGCGAAAAATTACACCGACTGGAAGGACACAGCGTACTTTAAAGTGATGGGTATCCCTGCCAGCTGCTGTAAAGACAACACCAAATGCTCCCCGGAGACCCTGAAGGACCTCGACCTGGCTGGGAAAGAGGTGTACACAACGGTGAGTTCACTGCCTACGCCACCACTAGATAGTAGTAGTTTTAAATTGATTAAATGGCTTTAAGTTTGTTTTAGGAGAAAGTATCAGTTTGCATGAACTGTCCAGCTATGTTTGTGCTCTATAAATCTCTCTGCTGTCTAGGGCTGCTTTGCATTGGTGACCACTGTGATGGAGGACAACCTGGGAATCATTGCAGGGATCTCTTTTGGGATTGCGTTCTTCCAGGTACATCATATGTTGTTCTTTCAGGTACTTTGTGTCAGAACAAATGGGACACTGCTGTACTTGTGGCGGTTTAAAGCATTTGGACATCATTGCTGTTGGTTAAGGAAACATTTTACTCACAAATGTTATTGTTGAGATCTGGGGATGCAGTGACACAGGCAGCAAGAGAGTCTAGTAGAGTAACATCTGGACAGATGACTTGGTGCTCAGAATTAACTTGGAACCCACCCAAACATTGCTCCATAGCTGTGTGTGTGTGTGTGTGTGTGTGTGTGTGTGTGTGTGTGTGTGTGTGTGTGTGTGTGTGTGTGTGTGTGTGTGTGTGTGTTTTGTTTTTATCTCAAAAATGAAGATTTGTGACTCTAACCCAAAGAACCTTGTTTTTATATTTTAAAATGATAAATGATGCAAAAAATTTAGATTTTAACTACAGACGTTAGAAAGTGAGGCCATACAGGTGTCTAGTAGTCTGCTAGTGTCTATACAAAAAAACATGTAGAATAATTTTCCCATAGAATCCCATATGGGAAGAGTCACATCACCAAAGATATGGTGACTTTTGTTTTTAATGGAAAAAAAACAACTATTAAAATTGTAAATTGGATATGGTGTGAAAATAATCAGATTTTATTTTTTGCCCATCCCTACTAACATGTTGATTATTATCAACCATCACATTGTAAACTAAGTGCAGCAGGTCAAAGTTCAACCAGATAATATAGATAACTTTCAGCTTCATTTTCACTTTGAAAAAAATAGTTTAGACCAGATAGTTTGTGTAATTGGTGCCACTTTAGTTTCTCTTTCATGCTTGGAAGGGGAGGATGAAGCAGGGGAGTTACTACACTAGAAACGCATTATTGACACGTCATGTGTCTGACCAGCAGGGGAGCTGCATGTAACAGCTATATTGTGAAATGTTTTTATCAATGATAGAAAAGAGAGAAAAACTTTACAATCCAGGTTGTAGAATAACATAATATTTCCTTTCACACAAGAAGAACAAAGATTAGTTGTATTTTGAGTGGAATTGTGTCTTATGTTTCTGTGTCTTGTCTCAGCTCATTGGGATCTTCCTGTCCTGCTGCTTGTCTCGATACATAACCAACAACCAGTATGAGATGGTCTAACAGTGACCTTCCACAGGTGAGACTTTGTTATTTGGTAACATTATTCAATATCGGTAAACACTGCAAATCAATGTTTTACACAAATTAGTACGGACACAGACTGTGAACGTGAAACTGCAGCAGTGAGTTAATGATCCAATGTTCAAATGCAAATGAGCAGATTAGGCGTCTAACAATCTGTCTGATGTGTGCTCGGTGTGTTTTCGCAGGTTACTGATGGGCAGCTCCTGGTGCAAGTTGAATTGAAAGAATCTCCTGTGATTTTAATATTGTGTTTGTATTAGTTGATATTATTTTAGAGAGGGGAAAACACCCACTGCTGCTTCTTATATTCAGTCTCACCAATGACAGACGAGCAGAAGGGAATAATGTCAAAGAGACATTATCTGCAGAGTAGTTTGACCAAAAATAAAAAGGGACCTGGACATTTCGGAGAACATTCGTTACTTCTGGAATTTAATTATGGATTTCCTAGATGTCATCACATAGATGTTGTCACTGTCATTTCAGTTCATTAACTCTACCAATTGTCAACATGTCTGTTTCTTATGTCTTTGTATAATGCAGCTGCCTTATTTTGTAATTTTGCTAAAACTAGTCTGTAGCTGAGCAGAAAAAATCTAGACAATAAGCTGATAAATGTTAAAATAAAGTGATTTACTGTGTGTGAAGCCCAGATGAGCCTGAGCGATGGACGAGAGGTTGCCACCCTGAAATCATGTGTTTGATTTACAGTAAGGCCAGTATTGTTGAAAGCCTGCATTCATGCGTGCCAATTACATTCAGCCAACTTCATATCACAGTTGTCAGTGTTAAATTCTTATTCTTTTGTGGATGCATGTGAAATACTTGAAAAAAAATAAAGATGAAAGTATCTTTAACAGTGTGTGCGAGCTGAGGGATTTGCATGGAGCTCAGGGTGTGTCTGTCTCACAGCTGTTTGCTCCTCATTCATCTGAAAAGATGCAATAAAAAAACAAATATTCTGGCAGGCAGACATGACTCAGTTATTCTGGGTCTTGTCAGGGGTCCCTTTAAAAGGTGGAAGGCATTTAGTTTTTCAATATTTTGACGATTTTCGTACTGTAGTGTGTTGGTATTCAGTCCACCCAGTCACTTTTTTGCTCATGCAGACAAATTATTACACTGATGTAGAGCAGGATATGTAAAGCAGGTTTCACAGTATTTATATATCAACACATTGTCCAGCTGGGTCATATTCTGCTGTAGCTGGAGAGAAGGGACTGAAATGATAGTAAAGTAGACTAACAACAAAGGTTTTATGTCTACATTTCACAACATTAATCTTTGATTTCAAGTTTTAAGTTACTCAATTTAATTATTTTATTATTTATTATTATTTTTAATTATACAGTAATGTGTGTGTCCTCTTCAAGTCGTATTTGTCTTTAATAAGACCACAGATAACTGAGTATGTTTGTAATATGTTGATTTGTCCATTCTGACTAATGAAATCACAGTCAAGGATAAATGAACTCAAACTCATGCACTCGCCTCAAAGAGACGTTGTGTTAGATAAACACTGAATGTTGTATAATGAAGTCTAAAAGTATTGACTGTAGGAGTTTCCTGGGTTGGGATCCACCAGTGTCACTAAATTATATTTTAAAAATCTATTTCTGCAAGGAAAAAATGTTTTTCTAAGCTTTACATTCATCTTTGTAATATTTCTATACAATAATGGATAATTAAACATAGAAATGTTCAAAGTGAGTCCTATTGTCCTGACTCACCGCAGGAGGATCACAGGTGTAACTGGTCACATTAATGATGTCCCAGTAAGCCAACAAGCACAACACCAACACTGCTGCCTCACTATTAATTAACTTCATTAGATACACCTGTGCTGCTCCTCTCTCAGCACTGCTGGCTGTCTCTGTGCAGATAAACCTGAAGGATCAGTGTGACACCTCAAATCAAACTGAAACCATCCGGTAAGTCAGGATTGTTTATATAGAACACTGCAGAGGAACTGAGCCTTTCAATATGTGATATTTGATATTAACGTGTTGTTTCTGTTCAACAAACACAACCCAACCACCAGGTGGCGGTGCTGTGTAACCTAAACAAACAGAGGCAGCTGTAGATACAGTGGCTGGGAGGTTAAAAAGCGACTAAAACCAGCTCAAACTTAACAGGAAATGTCGCAGCATCATTACACTTTTTTTAATACAACCCCCCCCAACAGGTAAAGTGCGCACCTGACGCTCAACGTGCCAACTTGCATCAGTGTTGCCTTCAGGCTACAAACGGCCTGGAAACGCTGAGGAGTAAATACGGTGCAGCTAATTGCAGACAAGCCCTCGACAAAATACATTTGACTGGCAGCTGTGATTTAATGTCCTATTGGTCCGTTTTGGATCAGATGCTCTGAGAGTCCGCCCACATCCTCCCTGCGGCCCAATCGGCTCGGTGGAGAAACACAAAGAGGGCGGACTTAAGAGTTTCCTTCCACCCCAACCCGGCTTCTCCGGTATAAAAGCAAGGACCAGCCGCCAGTCGGTTGGGGAAATTTGTACTTTCCTTCACGGCGTGGTGGTGTGTGTGTGGACCCTGAGAAGACTTGATTTATCTAAACAGCACGTCAACAAAGCTTTTTCCTCAGGTTTACCTCGTGGTTCAGGTCAGTCTACATCCTCTTTTATTGGACTATTCAAGGTCCCTGACGCGGATATTGTGTAGGGGTTTGTAATACCAGGAAGTCAAGGTCATAATGAAGTAATTCGTGCATTACAATGCGGCAGAGAGGAAGATGATTGTTAATGTTGAAATGAATTGTGGGGGTTTCTGGGTGCTAGAAGTGTGGTTCATCTCTGGACAAGATGAGAGACGAGCTCCTTATGTTTCATCATATTTCCTGCTGCCTAGCTGTACTCTAGTGTGTGTGTGTGTGTGTGTGTGTGATGGATTGGTTGCCTTTGTGTCCATGCTGAATGTGTAAATGTGTTCAAAGTGCACCATGCTTGGAATTTTTTTTTTTTTAGGTTTCCTTATTTTTCCTTTTGCAGCAAGCTGTGCACCTTTCCTGCATCCTCATGTTTCCTCTCTTCCTCTTGCAGATCAGCCACCTCCTAAAAACACCAAGCAGCTCTGCCTTAAGCAGCCCCACCTGCCAGCTCTACACTGTAACAAAGCCAACCCCAAAGCCTTCAAAATGATGCAGATCAGCAGCGACTCAGCCAGCAACAAGCACTCCCTCATCAATGTCATGCACCGCTTCATAGCAGCTGCCAACAACATGGACGAGACCATCATGGTGCCGAGCCTGCTGCGGGATGTGCCTCTGGAGGAGCAGGCGGCCAGCAAGGTGGAGCCAAACAACAATCACGAACTGCCGTGTCCCAACAAGCAGAGGGACATGTACGAGCACTACCTGCTCCTCAAGTCCATAAAGAACGACATGGAGTGGGGTCTGCTGAAGAGGGAGATGAGCAGCGGCGCCAGCTTCCTGGAGATGGCCGTGAAGCAGGAGGAGCAGCAGCCGGTCACCGGAGACCTGCTCCTGGATGACAACTCGGACCTGGAGCACCAGTTTCACTATCACCTCAGGGGACTGTTTGGAGTTCTGTCCAAGCTCACGCTGCAAGCCGACCACCTCACCAACAGATACAAGAGAGAAATCGGGGGCGGAAACTTCATGAGATAGAAGTCACTGTCTTCTCTCTTTCGGCCCCCCCACCCCCCGGACTGCTTGACTTGCACAATGGGATGTGTTGAGAAGAGCCCCCAATCTCTTCCTAATAGATCTCAATGGACAGGGAACTGACCAGGGTAACCACTTTATGACCTCTCTCACTCCTGAGTAGCGACACTCCAACTTCCCTCTTGTTCCACCGACCAAACATACCTGAAACCGGTGACGCCTGCACCTGTCCCTCTGCCTGAGGTCGACGCTTAGTGCTCGGTGGAGGTTTACTGAATCTGTCCCCAAGTCCAGATGAAGCACAGCTGTGGTTTATGCAGAACCTTGCCCTCCCTTGTTTTTTTTGTCTTTTCAATTTCAAGTTTGAACATGAATTTGCCACCAGATTGTGAATAAAAGAAGGTTTCTGACTGTAGGAGAAATTGAATGCTGGTTATTCTGTCCCTCCTGTAAAACATTGTAATGCTGAGCTGAAGGGCTCTTATATATCTGCAGAGGTTTTAAATCTTTCCACCTGATATTACTGTAACATGGCGTGCCTTGACTTTTTGTATACCTTCATGCCCTGTTCAGTTACCTCCCCATTGTCTGACTGCTTAAATGGTTCATCAGGGTGTTCCTGATGAAATGATTTCATTTGTTTGTCCTTGGAGATTTCAAAACCAATTTTATATTGAAGCAGAAATGCGGTAAAACTGAAATAAATAATTGGAAACTTAATGTTGTCTTCCTGTTTGTCACTTCTCACTTCTAACAGGAAGGATGTTGGTAATGCCTCTAAGTAGCTCAGTTAAAAACAAACCTGTTGTAAGAGCTTGAAGCTGTGCAGGAATGTGTAGTAGTGCTGTGTTTTTTTTTTTTTTTTACATGCATTAACATGCAAATGACAAGTTACCTGACCCTCTCCTCTTTCATGTAGTTTAGCAGCTTTAAGTAATGTTGGCGTTTTAAAAGTGCTTAACTCAGGATTTACCTGAAAGGAGAAGATATAAAAGTAGTGTTGTAAAAGAGGTCAGGGCTCTCGAACAGAACTTTGATAAATTGACACCTTTTTACATCACTGATGTATAATGCAAATGGGTGGTAGTGCTCACAGGCAAATCACCTGCAATGTTTTTGTAGCATTTCAAATGCACCTGGTCTGTGTTAGCACTGTACTTTAATAAGTTGAGAATTTTGTTCAGAAACTGGCTCAATTACAAACTGAGTTTCTAAAAGTGAAATGCAACAGTGGCTTTGGAACATCTTTTCCTCAAATCAGCTTGTTTTAAATACAAATTACAAGATACTGTGACATTTAAATGCTATTGTGCTTATATTGTCAAACACATTGTGCCAGGATGTAACAAACCCCGTCAGCCCACAATCTATTTTTGTCCTTTCTCATCTCAATCTAATATTTTTGCTGACATTTACGGTCCACTAATCAGCTCAAACGGTGGGGATAACAGCTGAAAGACGGCTATAAAAGCTGATAAGTGCTTTGCCACATCAGAAGTGATAAGACTTTATTTGGGTGAGACAATAAACTTGACAAAAAAAAATAAATGGCACCCTGGTGGCACAGAGAACATGATCTTTAAAACCTCCAAGAGTCTGTGGAGATTTAGAGGATATCAATCACATAGTTCTGCAGCTTTGTCACATTGAACATGATGGCAGCGGAGTATAAATGAAACATTAAATTGATAAATATGTTGCTCAAAACTGGTTGCCCCCCCAGCTGCCACATCTATCCATCACTGAGTGAAACCCTCCCCTTAGCAACAGCTCCACCAAGAGCAGCCAATCCGGTGGCAACAGGGTTTTTTTTCTCTCTTTCTCTCAAAGGCACTGCGGTGATTAAGAGATTGTAGTGTGATGAAGGGCATCCAGGAAGCGAGTTGAGGGCAGACATGGTCAAACAAACTGGTGCTCCTCTGACCAGCAGCAGCGAGCGCCGCAGGGATGAGAGTTTGCATAAAAAGTGCTGTGTGAGCCCTGTGGTGCGAGGCTGCAGTCCTCCTCTCTTTCCACTCACAATGGACCATACAAATGGCTGCAAATCAAAATGGCTCTGCTGGTCAGTGTGCCTCAGCCCACTCAGATAAACTGGGTCAACAAAACTGGTGACAGCTGGCCAGACTGCGAACGTGAATAGAAACCAGGTTTTAAACTGGTTAAAACTGAAATCTTCAAAATACAGCAATCAGATCTACTTATTTACCCGTCATTTAATTTATCATTGAGTCCTAAATGAAAGTAAATATTTGGGGAAATCTGCTTATTTTAGCTCTCTTGCCAAGAGTTAGCTGCCACTTTTATATATGTCCAATGAATATAAGGCAGCAGCCAGCAGCCGATTAGCTTAGCTTAGCATGAACAGAAAGGGAAAAGGCTTGCCTGACTCTGTCCAAGAGTAACAAAATTCACCTACCAGCACCTCCAAAGCTCAGTAATTAACACATTACATCTTGTTTGTTTAATTTGAACAAAAACCAGAGTATAAAAATTAAAATGTTCTCTTTTATGTGCGGGGTTAAAAAAAGACATAACATTGTCGATTTTATTCTTCTGTTTTTTGTTAATGTGTTAATTAGTCAGCTTTAGGTTACCTTCAGACACAGCCAGACGTTCCCTGTTTCCAGTCTTTATGCTAAGCTAAGCTAACCGGCTGCTGGCTGTAGCCTTATATTTAATGTACAGATATGAGAGTGGTGTCAATCTTCTTCTTGAACTCTCTTCCAGGTGTTTCCCAAAATGTTGAATTATTTCTTTAACACCAGGAACTGTCTCAGCTGCTGGTAATATTCTTCTGGTCTAAAATATGTTATAAAAGCAACCTATAAATTATTTGTTCTAGAATTATATCTGGCAGTAAATGAGTGATATCTCTTCAGATTTATAGCTGTTAAAGTTGTACTTGTCATTGCACGCTCTGATCAAACAGATCTCAAAGGGCTTGAACCGTGACACTGATATTCTGCCGGGATGCACAAGTCAACTAAGTCACGTTAATGTCTTGAGAAACTTGAGAGCAAATGGTTGCAGCCATTTAGTTCACCGCAGAAATGGCTCCATAGTTGTGAGCAGGATGTGCTGTTTCATCGTGCACAGTGTTTCAAAGTACATAATAAATCATATTTTATGTGCAACAAGAAATCTGCTCATGCAAGACACTTACAGCTTAATGAAAATGAGTAACTTAATGTAAACAGTTGTTTATACGTCTTTTTTTTATTTTTGTCAGGACTGCGTGTTGCAAGGGGTTTTTGAGTTCAGTGCAATGTGACTGACAGATCTTGGGACATGGGAGACATTTGGTGTTGAAAGGCCTCTTGAAACTCTGTGTGGTTGGCAGGTCTTTGACCCACCCGGCCTGCCAGCATGAGGCTGCGTGATCACAGACTTGGCAAGACAACGGCAGCGTCTGCTGTGCCTTCTCTGGCAGAGCACTCTCTGTTGCTTAACGGCTATAAAACCTCCTACCTGACAGGGATAAAGCACCAGACAACCAGACAGAGCAGAGATTATCACTTTACAAGTTAGGTCCAGTCAACCTGACATAGGCAGGCAATCAGCTGCTGTAAGATGACGTCTAAGGGTCAATAATGTGATTCTAAATGAAGGTTTGTATCTTTTCAGCAGTGCAGCTGCACTTACATCAGCAATATATACCTGGCTGCCACACCTACCGTCTGTTTGCTCTTATCACCTGGTCACCCAGAATATTCTGCACTTTTCTATGGTTACAGCACTGCTCCCTGAGTAAATACCTCACTCTATTGTTTGCTTTAATATCCAGGCATGTTTCAGTATACCTCTGAGTTAACCATGAAATCAAGAGACAAATACATCTCAGCTGTAAACTGTGAGTGAATTTGGATGGAACTGATAAAACATTTGCATAACTTAAAGAGGCCTCCAGCATACTTTTAACTTACTGGCAGTGGTGGAAGAAGTATTGTGATCTGCCATAAATTCATGGATAAAACATTAAAAACACCCCTCACTGTGATGTGTTACAGTCAAGTACAACACCACCACTAACAAACAATCTTACTAATATCTATTTTTTTCCAGAGCTTTTGACCATATCTTATGTAATTTGCTCAGGTGGCTGTTGGATACGGTGGAAAGAGTTTATCATTTGTGATCACACAACCTTCTTCTAATTATGTTCATATCAAACGATTCCACACCTCACAATTTACGTCCAGTTCATTTGCAATTAAAGTTTGTCTTTTCATTATAATCATGATATCTTCTGAACCTTTAACTTAAACTACAAGTAGTTTTTAACTGGTTATAAAATATGACCTGTATTACCAAACAGGACCATTCTTAATACCAGCCACTGTGTTGGATTCAGTCTTATTCCCCTTCAAATCAATTAAACAAGGAAGTAGAAACACTACCACTTCTGTCCACCAGGGCCACCAGAATCAACACAAAATGAAAATTCCTTGTTGTTGCTTTAACCAAGTGTTTTAGTTGCCTAAACCTATACACACTGTAACCATAGTTAAGTTGTCATAACCCCAGTCTTTACCTAACAATAGTGTAGCTGCCATGTGCAGATATTGTGGAACAAATTGTCATTAGATGTAAAAAAGACAAAAGACAATAATTTCATATCAACATTCTTGTCTGCTGATAAACAGCTGAATTAACGTCACTCTGACACTGTTAACCTAAACCAAATGTATTATTATTTGAATCATTATTTTTATTGGAGATGTACCTAATGAAGTGACCACTGATTGTAGGTTTGTATAAAAAATATTGCTCTTCACAGTAACTAGTAACTACAAATGCCAAATAAATATAGTGCATAAAACAGAAATACTCAAAGTAAAAGTACCTCAAAGCTGTTCTTAAGTGCAGAACTTGAGTAAATGTATTTAGTTACATTGAACTTGAAGGAGCCCTCCGGTAGGTGTTTAACTTGCTCCCACAGTAAAGGTCGTTTGTGATTAAAACAGGTTTGTTGTTGTGTAATGTGATGTATGTGGCCCACATGCGTTGCTAGGCATTGCCGTTGTGTAAAATTGTCTCATGTGAAAGCTGGTGAAGCCCACATTATGGCGCAGGGCTCAGGCTTACAATATGCTGCCTTGTGCTGCAGAAGTAATGAGAACCAGCACGCTCACTGATGTTGTTAACATTTCTGTGTGTTTGACGTCCCCTGAACAGCACAAGAGCAGCGTGGTAGCAGAAAACATCCGTGAAGAAAACAGGCTTCTTCACAAAGTGTGAGGATAATATCCATAACTCCATAATGAAGTCGCTCCCCTAGCTATGAATGATTTAATATAATGAGAAAGTAATGCAGTCAGCAAATTCTTTCCAGGCCTGTTTAGGAATATAGTTAATAGAAAGGATGTACAATGTAGAACTAGAAACAGATCCACAGAATAAGAAAAACCATCTTGTTTTTGTTTATGTTTAACCTTGTGTGAACTTTGTACTGCTATCAATTAGGATGTTAATGTTTCACCTATTGTCTGATGGCTTTAGCTTTAATCAATAAATAGTTCTATTTTTATTCATGTCTGAAGTCTAGGTCAAGCATAGAGGAAGTGACTTTAGTTTTATGCAGCACTTAAATCAGGAACTGAGGCATTCTGGGACCAAGGGCAGCTTTAGAAACGTTTGAAATGGGAAAACACATTCTTAAAATCACTATAAATGTGTTAAGACTCAAGGTTAAAGCCCTCGTTCTTGGCCATAATAACATT